TCAATCACAAAGCAACCAAGGGTTAAGGATGTCAGATGGGGGAAAGGAGGCTAAAATTGTCCAATTCAGAAAAATCTAAACAATACATAAATCAGGACCGGTAGGTAATGACAAATTAACTCTGAGAGGAAACCGGGTTGCTCGGATCTAGCACAGACAGGGTGAGGGAGGGTACAGCTTAGGCTAAGGGTTGCCACAACGAGTCCAGTAAAGGAAGACAAACCATTTGAAATAAATTAGGACAAACAAATGGCAAAGAAAAAAAAGGCTAAGTCACTTTTGATCATTTATTTACTCTTGGATTTAAAATGCTTTAACATCTTAACTAGCATAATAAACAGTGAAATACATGAATGCTTACGCTCGTCACCACCAGGCAATCGCCTGTCTTTATAATATAGTCTTGTAAATGCCATTTAGTTGCATTGCCAGGTTATTGCTTTGCATGTAAACAGGTAATTCAGATTATTTCAATAAACTTAGCATATTGGTGTGCATGTACATACTCAATCACAAAAACAACATCTTTGCGCACAATACTGGGATTACCTAAAACACTGTGACAGAAACCATAGGACCTATTAGTGAATACAAGTTGTCTTTGTTAATTTGAAATAAAATTCAAATTGTACTAATGCTAACAGAATTCATAGACCATTTAATGTGCAAACAGACCATCATGTGGTTTAAAATAATGAAAACCACTCAATGGTTTGAGTGGTTTGCACTCTAGTCATGCTTATATGTTGGCACAGAACATCTTAAAATGATGCTCACCTGAGTTTGACACCAGCTCTATGTCATTACCCTCCAGAACCAGCTCGTCTTTTTGAGCAGCAGACACTGCACATGCCACACCTACCAAAAAACAAAACACCTTAATTCTGTAACCAGGCATGTCTGCAGCAGAATTAAAGGGGTCATCGGATGCAAAATTCACTTTTATATGGTGTTTGCATATAAATGTGTCTTTGCAGTGTGTGGACAACCACCATACAGTGAAAAATCCTTTTTTTTAATCCTCAAAAAGTCTAAACACTCAATCAAGCCGTTTGGAATTTCTGACGATTTCCAAACGGCTCCGCCCACGACCACTGACAGACTGTCCCGTATTAGCATAATTCCGCCCTCAGCCATTTGTATACTGTCCACCAAGGCAGCACTTTATGTGTCTTGTTCAGACGAAAAGCCTTTACACATACCTGTCCTCATGCGAACACGACGGACGTACTTCTCTCCCAAGAAGTTCCTGATCTCCACCAAAGAGCCAGTCTCCTGGATCACCACGTTAATGGGGAAATGGGCATATACAGATCGCATCTTGTATCTGAAGCCCTAGAGAACAAATGAAACATACATTACATCAAATAGTCCATATCTTTCTCTCTTCAATATAACTAGAACGAGATTATAGGGTAGGACACTAAAACAGTCCTTTTAAAGCTGCTTTAGACAATGAGCATATAGAATTGAGTACGAATGTACAAAATCGAGTTTACTTACCAGGGTGACCCCCTTGATCATGTTCTGGACATGACTGCAGATGGTGCGGACTGTGGCCAACTCCTTCCTGTTACCCCACCACTTATCCACACGCAGCTAAAACAAACACAGATCATCCACTATAAGTCCACACACATTAAAAAGGTATGTTTACATGCACGCATTTGTCGAAATGAATCTAATCTGATTTCAGATTCTGATTCACATTTGTTTACGTGTGCATCACATGTATTCAGAACAAAACTTCATTGTCAATGTCACCTGAGCTACTGCAAGCATAATTGACCTATCGGTAAGCCCCTCCCGTTGAACGCAGATGAGCCAATGGCAGTTGAGTATCAGTTGCACGGGACCGGAACTCGAACATCTTTAGGTTTCAGCGCCATAGAGAAACATTGGAACATCCGAAGCTCTTATCAGTTTTATGGTGTTTAAGTAGGGTTGGGTATCGTTTGAATTTTAACGATTCCGATTCCAATTCCGATTCCTTGTTTCGATTCCAGTTCCTAACGATTCTCGATTCCGATTCTTTTAAGAGGCAGGGTCAAAAAAGTTTAGGATATTTTAAATTAGCTAGCTAACCAACGGTCTTTCTGAAGGAAATAGTATGACCTTCTTCATCAATTTTAATTTAACTTTTAACTTTTAACCTTTTACTTTTTATGAACTTTACTATGAATTTCTCACAGGGCTGTTTTCAACTACAATATAAATATCAAATCTATGAACTTGAATATAAATATTATAAATTATGAATATATTTTCACAGGGGTACACTTTCCTCAAGAGAGCTTTATTTTTGAAAACCTCATGAAAGCACATTTACACATGATGTATGATGCTGCAGGTACTTAAACATGTTACTGTGCTTCCACTGATGGGCTAACCTGGTGCAGAATAGCAAATAAACAATAAAAAACAACTTGTAAAACCTTTGTCATCTGGCGAGGAGAGAGCAACCAGCGAAATAACCTGTGCTCTGAACGCCGTTGAGAGCACTTTTGGAACATATCCATGCCTTGGTTTGATGCTGCGTTCGCGTCTGGCGCGAGTGATTTCAATGTTAAGTCAATGCAAAGATGCGTTACGCGCGTAAACAATTTCTGCGGCGCGAATGGGGACAGGCCCGCTTTTCAGTTTGTCTGGTTATATAGACGCGAATACTCCTTTTTTACACACGTCATTTCGCTCTTGACGCGCGAATGGATTCAAAGTGTTCAAGCGTATAGACGCGGTAGGCGCGAATTTGACGCGCTATTCGCGTCTGAAGTGAACGCAGCACAGGACGACTCTCGAATTGCTTCGCTTGGTTATGCCAACACTTCTGGTGGACGCTTCTTCATTGGTGTTCAGCGGTTTCTTCATCCGGTCGGCGGACTGTGAATCGAAACTAGGAATCGAAATTTAAACTTTTGAACGATTCCGGGAAAATCGCAAAGCAAGTCCCGGTTCCAATCGATACTCGATACCCAAGCCTATGTTTAAGCTACAAAAATGGTAAAACAATGTGCCTGAGAGGATAGGCATGGGTATTTATAATATCAATGAAGTGAGAGCAGTAACCTGGTTCCCTAAGGATTCAATCCAATCCCAATGAAGACGGAAACGTTCATTTTCTGGTTGTCATACTCATACTTTGTTACAATTAAAAGTTAGTGAGTCCATGCTAACATACTAACCTAAATAACTTACTGTTCTCACGTCATGTACAGTCTAGGTCAAAAACAGCCATCTGCGATCGTGGCGACCGTAAAATGAGGCTTATCCTGCTTGCATTGTGATCTGCCGTTAATCACTCGCTTCCAAATTAATCTTTACCATATTTATTTTAAAATCTTTTATACATCCCTCCATGGCATATTTAGCCCCACTTGAATGCTCCTCGACGAGAGGTGGTCATTCTGTGTCCAAAATTTATCAAAAACATCTTGGGACAAGGTTTTCACACTGACAGCTGTCATTGTAAGACAGTTAGCAACTCTGTTTGTTAGTCCGAGATAGCAACAGTAACTAAGGGGGCGGGGCTTACAGATAGGTCAATTGTTGTTTTCCCCTTCATGACATATATATAAAAAGTAAGCTGACATGTCAGAAGAACTTTAGCAAATATTTAATATTTGGTCTCCTCAACTGACCATTTCAAGACAAATATACATGTTCAGAAGATGTAAAACAAACATAACCATCACGACACTACATGGTTATTTTTTCCTGTTGATCAGATAACTTCAGCCAGTATAGTATAAACAAAGTAAAGAATAAAACAATTAAAAAGTAATCCAATATAAGATACCATAAAAAAGTGGGCTTAAAGGGAAGATTTAAACACACTACCTCATGCCTAATCTTAGAGGGCAGACAGTGCCATAGTTTTGAGCTAATGAAGAGAGCACCCCATTACCCATTGCTCTTAAAAGAGTTGGCGGTACAGTATGTATCAAGACTGCAAACCTTCTTCTGTTTCTTGCCCAACAGACTGAGCTCCAGGTTAATATGGTTGAATTCCCGGCGGAGAACGCCACGGGGTCCCTTCACTGTAACTGTGCGGCCCTTGAGGGACACCTCGACTGTAAGGAAACAGACACAATTTAGTAAACATGAAGGCATGGAGTGGATAAAGAGAAAACTCTCTAAACCATATACGCGAGAAGTGTGTGAATGGTAAGGACGGGATGCATGATATTTAACATACCGTTGTCGGGGATGTCCACTGTCTGGTTACTGAGAATGGTCTTCATTCTGAAGAAAACGAGCACAAAGCGGTCAGCAAAAGCATATTCTGCCCATCACAAATACCACTTATTAAAACAGAAAAACTAATAGCTAGTACAAACCCGGTGGAACCTATTAGAATTCTAGTCAATTACACCCGGGTGGTACCGTTAACGTGTTTTTGAATTTTAATTCTGTTTTAATGCTACTTGAACATTACTAATGTCATAATGAGACAAACATGGCTTAATATCAATGTGCTTAATGAATGACTTGTAATTGCCTCGGCCTACACGTCTGGCTAACCGATAAACACTAAACAGACATAAGGCGCTTATCAAACAGCATCGGGTTTTCGGCACTAATATAGCCACATATATTTTCATGAACATATAAACAAAGTCTTGAGACACTAAGCAAACCTAACGCATTTGACATTAGTGTAGATGGTACTTGATTAAAATGCACAAGAACAGGATGCGCCATGTTCTTACCTCGCTGATTAAGGGGGAAAGGAAGGAGGAAGAACGTGATGACGTAAATGTAAGCCGTACGTCATGCGTCACAAGCCAGTCTGAAAGGCACGACCAAGCGATTACAGATACTGAAAATCACGTTACTGAAGCAAAACAACTTAGGTTATCAGTAAATATTATTAAATTAAAATTTATAAATATATATTGATGTATTTATTATGCATATGTTAACATTAAAATATATCACAATCACATGTTTGTCAGGTATTTAACGCTCTGGTCTTAATCATAAAGTTAATCGATGTCAGAGCGATTGTTGTCAATGACAGGCTGAATCTAAAGTCATGGCGTTGATCAGCAGAAGTTGTTGTGCTGCGGGTCGATATTCTTCTAATCATCTGTTTTTACCATCAAAATGCTTTGAGGCGTCTAATGTAAGCGATTTCTTCGTTCTGTTTTAGTTTTATGACTGACTGTACAAAAATATAATGTCAAATAGTTAAGTGCTAAGTTACCTGTCGGTGCTCAACCGGTGCAGGCCAGTACAGAACAGGAGTTGCTGCAATATAATAGTATAATGTCCTCTGATTTAATATATTAAAATGTGTTAGTTTTTTATTATTATGCATATTATGCTGAGCTAACTGAACTGTTTGATGATGATATTACTATAAAATTGAGGTCACGCTCGAATCGTGCTTCTGGTCGCAGGTTTACTACTGTAACAGATTGACCACTGCTGCTAACACATCCACAATCACCGAGAGGAAGAAAGACATAAAAGAGGATGGGCTGAACCTCCAGGACTTCATATCAGGAGAACTGTCAGAAAAGAGCACGTGGGAGGAATACAGAGGCAACCTGAAGAGAGAGAAGGGAGAAAGGTAAACGAATGGACACCGCTTTAACATTTTTAATATGGAAATATTGTATATTATCAAAGTGCCATGGCCATCAATACTCCGCCAATACCACCATGATTTTTTTATTTATGACTTCATTCACAGTGATCACTTTGCAAAGGTCACTTAATCAGTGTTGTCCAATTGTGCCTTTAGACATAGATGTTATTTGTTAATAAATGTGATGTGTGTTTTAATTACTGAATGTACACAGACTTTTAATTTTTATATCCTGCCTGGTAAAATGTATGAAATTAACCCTATAAAGCAAGCTTGACATGAAATAGTCAAGAAAAATCAAGAAAAATCTTCTTTTTTTTATGGAACAGTTTACCCTTTAGTTTAGACAAACATTTGAATATGGTGCTTATACCCAAGGAGGGGGAAAAACACCCATTTTATTCAGAGGTCCAAACTGAGCAAAAATATACAACTTGGTGTAGTTGCTGATATTTATATCACCAAAAGTTTTACTGATAGCTTGACATGTATATCAATGAGATCTTTGTAACCGTATAGCAGCCTAGTCTACTTGCATTAAATACTTATAAGTTGTTATTCTATTTCTCCCAATAATATGTCTTAGTAAGAGGATATTTAAATGTTTAGTTTTATGATCAAAGCTCTGTAGTTTTTATTGTGGGTGGAAAAACATATAATGCAATATAATACAATGATGACAGAGATATAGCCTACAAATCAAAAGCCTGATGTATCATATTTGATATTTGATATTTATTTGCTACATTTTAACCTGATTTTCCTAAAAAAAGGATGTATGGATAATGAAGTAAACCTCAGTAGCTTCAGTCCAATAAGAGTTCATTTTAAAATATCACTAACAATATAAAAGGTATTCTTCGGTTTACTTTATAAAATCAGTAAAGATTTCACAGCAAAAATACATGAACCCTGACCTGAAGGGGAACGTTTTTAGAAAATACGAAAAGGCCATTTAAAGTGTAAACTTAACTATTAATCAGAGGACAGAAGGCATATAGTAGATTGTGTGCAACAGGTTCTTTAGCAGATATTATGTTGAAAATTTAGAGGGCCTAGAAATTTGTGTATTAAATATGATGCTTTTAAAGAGTTACAATATAGGCCTAATACTTTTTATGATAGATGGATGGATGGATGGATGGATGGATGGAGACCATCAAACTTACCATCAAAACATTCAAAATTTTGAACATTTACGTATACATGTATAAAGTCCAGTCCATAGGATTTAACCAGTTGTTTATTTTCCCAGGCTAAGGCTACCACCATGGCTAAAGACAGAGATTCCTATAGGAAAGAACTACAACAAACTGAAGAACACACTTAGAGAACTGAACCTACACACAGTGAGTGGCTGAAAACATGCCTGACATTTCAACTCATGACACAATAGTGAAAATTTTACAGTTCAATTAAAGGAATAGTTCTTTCAAACATGAAAATTCATGTTGACATTAATTTAATTTAACTATAACGTCTGTCCTGGATCAACAACAAGAGAAGTTTTCAGTACAATGAAAGTGGAAGAGAACCAGGGGCTGTCAAGCTACAAAAAGAATAAAAATGCACCATAAAGCATAAAAGTAGTCCATCCAAGCACTATATACATTACCATTTAAAAGTTTGGGGACATATTTTTTTTAAAGGTGAAGTATGAAGTTTCTGTGACACTAGCTGAATTACAAAAACAAAGCATATTTTCAAACAACCTTGCAAACGGCTCTTTCACGCATCGCACCTTCCCAAACTGACATTAATGGAGATTGTACATCACAGTCATAGCTCTTGGATGCTTGTGAAGGCATGTCTCAACAGGTAAAAGTAAGCTACTTTCAATTGAAGGACTAACATAGTAGGAATACTTTTAGCTGAGTTGCTATGTGTCATGAGTAAGCAATTGAGTTGACTAACACTGTCTAGAGAGAACATGAGCGTCTCGCTTATAATCAAACCATCCAACGAATTTTTACCATATTTTTGATCAAATAAATGTAGCCTTGGTGACCATGAGACTTCTTTCAAAAACATTCAAATTGTATTGACCTCAAACTTTTGAAAGGTAGTGTATATAGCTATATTCATGGCTTGGCTTCGCTAACGAAGATTTAGGAAGGATTTTGGTACGTGAAATAAACACTGTTTCTTTGGTTACAGGTCTGCGAGGAGGCCCGTTGTCCAAACATTGGGGAATGCTGGGGGGGAGGAGAGTATGCCACTGCCACAGCAACTATTATGGTGAGTCTGAAAAACACCTACAAACATACAAGGATAATATCTCTATGTAATGGTCTTTCAAACAGTATTTCTTCCCTAACAGAGGAATTTTGATTCTGCTTGATTTCCCTTACTCGTTCCATAGTTAATGGGGGACACATGCACACGTGGCTGTAGGTTTTGTTCCGTTAAAACGGCGAGACGTCCTCCACCTCTTGACCCTGATGAGCCATATAACACAGCTAAAGCCATTGCTGCATGGGGACTGGACTATGTAGTCCTCACATCAGTGGACAGAGATGGTGAGGAAACATAAAAACATCAATAAACCAAAGTTAAACACTCTGTAAAATGCCTTCACCGACATTTTCCTTTCTTGTTGACCTATTTGCTTTTGGAACAAGGTCATCTTGATTGTTTTGAAATAGCCAGTTTAGCTTTAGTTATGTCATAGCGATGATCCATGGTTTGCTATTTACTAGTCAGTTGCAAGTTATATTTGTTGGAGGGGCATTCTCCTCTGTCTAGAAAGCATTTGATTGGAAGAAAATCTGTGTAGTGCCAGGATGAGTCATTAATATTTTTGGTCGTTTTCCTAAAAGCGGAAGACCCGTTCTTATTTTTTTTAAATGTGTATATCTGTTAAAAAAATAATTATGTGCATGGCATATATAAGCGAATAGACATGGACCAAGAAAAACATAATTGTAATTTTGTTTTCATGGGTCTTTAACATTTTCCATTGTATTGTAATGTTTCCTTATCCGTACAATATTTTTATTATGCTGGACAGACATTCCTGATGGTGGAGCTGAACATTTAGCAAAGACCGTCTCCAGCCTTAAAGAAAGGTACAGAGAATACTCTGTATATTTTAGAATCAGCTCATTCATTCGTTTCTCTCATACATGATCTTTTCTCTCTAAGGAACCCTAAAATCCTGGTAGAGTGTTTGACTCCTGATTTCCGTGGTGATCTGGCAGCAGTGGAGAAAATTGCGTTGTCTGGGCTTGATGTTTATGCTCACAATATAGAGACAGTTAGAGAACTACAGAGGTTGGTGCATCTTGTCCGCTGTCATGTCTGTTACATTTTTCTTATACGTGTGTGTGTGTGTTTTTTAAAGAATTCTTTTTAATGCAGTTTGTGAAGTCAAGAAATACAGACAGCTTTAACAAAGTGTTGTTTAATATGATAAAGTTCTGTGCATTTTTATTTTTAAGCAAACAATATTTATTATAAAAATATTCATAAAATATTGAAATGTTTCCAAATAATAATTGTACATATTTTATTTTTATTTATTTATTTTGTAAAACAAATTCTGTTGTTTTTTGTAGTATATACAGTCACCACCAGATGGCAGAAATATCTAGTCTATCTTATCAAGTGAATTCATAACAGTAGTTCTCATTCTTTATGATTCTCACTGCTGTTCAAAGCTTGGAGATTTCATTGCAGATCTCACTTTCACCTTTGATCTTTGACCCTAAGGCATGTGCGTGACCCCCGTGCAAACCTTGACCAATCACTGAGTGTTTTACGACATGCTAAAAAAGCGAAATCCAGTGTGCTCACAAAGACTTCCATCATGTTGGGTCTCGGAGAGACAGATGCACAGATACATGCTGTTCTTAAGGGTAATGTCCCGTGACCTACACTAAATCATACCAGAGTTTCACATGTATTCTATGTTTATAATAGGAGGCAAATATAATATTCATTTATTGGCATATGAGAGTTCTTTGTCTTCTTGCAGAATTGAGGGACTCTGGAGTTGACTGTCTAACACTGGGCCAGTACATGCAGCCAACCAAACGCCATCTCAAGGTACAACAACAATACATAATATTAAAGGGGTGATATAATGCCCTTTTCATAATGATTAAAATAAGTCTCTGATGTCCCCAGAGTGTGTATGTGAAGGTCTAGCTCAAAATACCCCACAGATATTTTTATATAGCATGTTAAAATTGTCACTTTTTGAGGGTGAGCAAAAATGCACCGTTTTTGTGTCTGTCCCTTTAAAGGATAATTCCGGTATTTAACACTTTGAGTCTATTTTTTTGTTTGTTTTGGATGAACTAGAGTGGTGGACTTAGAAATTTTGACGATGGGTCCTGTCTCGACTTTTTTAATATTTTAGAATCGCCTCTGAGCGCTTCAGAGTGGATGTCTATGGGCATGCTCAAACATGTCCTTAAAACAACCCTTAACGTTCGTTTTCAAAACTGTGCAACTCACCGAGTGATTAGTGGTGTTCGTTGATGATTAAAAACAAATATATCGGCGCAATGTATGCTTTCAATCCGTGTTATTTGCTATAGTGGAACTATTTTTTCAGATACCTCACAACCGCGTATAAACTTCCGCTCGATATTTGAGTCTGAAGCGTTAGCACACTCCCGGCCACTTGATGGCGACAACCACTTTGCCGCAGTTGCTCAGCTCACGCTAGCCTTCTGAGAGACGGAGAACCGAGTAAAAAGACTACAACCAAATGTAAACAGACCCCTTTCCTTTCCGGTAGCGCAGTAATATCAACGAGCACTGAGTCCTCCAGCAGACATCAATGCGATTTTAAAAAATGGCAAATAAAACACGACAGAAACTGTATTTCGCTACGCTACTTGTTTTGGAACATCAACGAACACCACTAACCACTCGGTGAGTTGCACAGTTTTGAAAACGAACGTTAAGGGTTGTTTTAAGGACATGTTTGAGCATGCCCATAGACATCCACTCTGAAGCGCTCAGAGGCGATTCTAAAATATTAAAAAAGTCGAGACAGGACCCATCGTCAACATTTCTGTGTCCACCACTCTAGTTCATCCAAAACAAACTAGAAAATAGACTCAAGGTGTTAAATACCGGAATTATCCTTTAAATGCAAATGAGCTGCTGGTCCCAGCACAGGGGGCGGAGCTTCAACAGCTCATGTCCTTTTACCTCACGCACGCACTGAAAATATTAATGTTTATGTTCAAACCGGAGTCAGACAATAATGGAGAGACTCAAGAAGTGACAACGTAGAAGCAACAGGACATTTCTGAATGGTTAGTTGATGAGTTTATGTAGCTGATGTGTAGTTATCTTCTAGTCATTGATTAGCATATTCTGTCTTGATAATCTATAAATCGCTTTCCTGGGGTGGCGTTCATGCAAATCTTAGGGTTGGTGATGTCACTAACCCGGGAGGAAGCTTGTGTAGTCCGTACCAGCCGTTTGTTGTAGTCCTTAAAAACTGATTTCTTTAAAAGCAAATATCTCCCTTTGCTTTGAACTTTGAGCGTTGTAACTTTGCAGATGTTGTTTATGCTCAAACAGCAACATTACACACTAACTAAAGTTAGAAAAGGGAAATCATAATCAACCGCCCCTTTAAAACAACCAAGCTGTCTTAAGGCCAGTTCACACCAAGAATGATAACTGTAGCTATAACTATATTAGCACCCACACAAACTCACAATATATTTCTGTTTATTATAAGCACGCTCTGCAGTTATGTCATCTCGTCTGTCGCTTTAAATGCTTTAGCTCAGCATGATGGGTTCTTCTGATTGGCTGTCAATGTTTTTATCAGTCATCAGCTAGGATATCATTTCTCTGTTCTGTTATCATTATAGTTGTGGTGTGCGGACTCTGCTATTCTTTTACATTTAGAATGATTTTTACAACTTTTATAGTTATTATCGTCCTTTGGTGTGAACGGGCCTTTAGATGGCACACCCACAGTCTGTTCACTGACCATCTGATACATACAGTGGCATATGCTAGCTGACATCACCAGTTCCAGTGTGATCGGCTGGTTTTGTGCAAATTTCAGGAATAAATTAGCGAACTTGTCCATAGTCTATTTTTAAAGTGTAGCAATGTATGAAGCACATCTCACCTAGAAGTCACCTTTAAACCAAGCAGCTTTCTATTGATCAATGCGGTGAATCCATGTGACCAACTTAAACCTTTTTTTTCCCCTCACACGAAAAAGTGGATTCCTATTGCAATGACTAGATTTCACCTATAAAAATTTGCAGAACAATGTTAATATATGACTGTACCTTAAGTAATCTATTATAGATAACCCGCCCCTAAATGGCCACATTTCCAGTTTTATACATCAATTACAACCTTCTTGAACACATCATTCTAACAGTGTGTCTGATTGAAGGTGGAAGAATATGTTACTCCTGAGAAGTTTGCTCACTGGGAGAAGGTTGGCCAGGAGATGGGCTTTGTCTACACAGCCAGTGGGCCACTTGTGCGCTCCTCTTACAAAGCAGGTAACCTGAGTGCATGTTTAAATTTATAAAGATTTATATAATACCTAGTGTAGATAACGCTATTCATTAGCAGTACCATTTTTCTCAATCTCTATGTTTCCATCCAAAGTTTTGAATTTAACTTTTGCGCAAAATAAAGCACCATTTCCACCCTATGGGTCTCGTTCATGAAACACGAGCAGAATGAATTTTTGTGTAAATCGTGTGTAAAGTGGTTCTGTCGTAAATTTTCGGATTCATTAAAATGTTCGTATTTTCCAAATGTTAGTTGGTACGAAAGAAATCTACACCTGCTCCCAGCCACGCGTAAATAGTGCGCTTAACACCCGAACGTTTTGCTCATTAATAAGGCTGCATTTTAATTCACCTTAATCGGGTACATATTTACACAGCATTTTGAAAAAATATTATATATAGTAATTACATACAGTTTTTCTTATTATGAGAGCCAGTAATAGCATCTGCGATGGTGGTCCTTCTCCAGTTTGAATACTATTTTTCCGAAGTGAACTAATTCGTTTTTTGCTCTCAAGCTTAATGTCGAACCATTTTCTTCTCACTTCTGGGAATGTTCGATTAACAGATGAAACTCCATTAACTGCATCTGTAATATGCTGCCAAGCTTCCTTTTTTTTTAGGACCCGATACGCCACTATGTACGCTTGAAAATAAAATGTGGCGTTTTGAATGAACTTCTGATAATAAAACTTAAATTTCTGCATCTGAGATTTTTTTTTTTTCATTCGCATTCATGTCATAATATGATGCCCATATAAGGTTGTCAGTCGGATTTAATGGGCGGGATTTATGGTAATTGAGAATGAACGTGCACGCGCATCCCATTTACGAGTGATGGGAATTCATTAACACACACACACATTTCACTATCACATCTGACGTTTACTAAGTATTTGTGAATCAGGAGATGAGTTTTCAGGAAGGTCTCTTATATTCACATATAATAATACTTGCATGTTTACTCGTATATTTACGAATGTTTCATGAATGAGACCCTATGTGTTTAAAAGAACAAAATCTTCACTTCCTGGAAAATTGCAGCAAAATATCTGTAATTTTTTTTTTTGAATTTGCTGCAATCGGGAAGCAACCGTGGCTCGTGTTATTTTACGTTCGGATGCAGATGCCTCTGGTGTTTGGGAAAGCAATCATGTGAGATCATTATACTCTGGGAGGTCATTATATTCAACCATTTTGACAGACTTTGGCTCATTTCAGAATGACCAAACCAACATTTGAGATGCTGTGCCATGAAATTGGTCAGCTGGTTAGTCCAATTATATAATCACATACGTTTTTTGTTGCACATCGAGGGATTTATTAGGTATATTTTTCCGTCTTAGTTTATGCGCATGTCTTATTATCGTCTTAAAAAAAATCATCCGCATGATTTGAGTACTCAAGTTTTTATGTGCATTGTTAGAATTTATGCGCATCTTGTCGTTTCCATTCAGCATTTAATCTACTTTTAAATAGATCAGTTCTTTTACAACAAGATGGTGTAGTTTTGACCATCAGGGCAGCCAAACATTGACTCCCATGTTTCAACTATCATGAAGCTCACACACTTGCATATACTGTTACATTATTTGTTTAAATGCACCGTCTCATGGTTTTTACTTATATATTTCTTAGGCGAGTTCTTTTTGAAGAATCTGCTGGAAAAGAGAAAGACTGAAGACACCACAGCAGCAGCAGAGTAAAACTGCTGACCATCACCTGTCTGTCCTTTCTCTTTCCCTACAGTATAAACACTATTAAAGGGACAGTTCACCCAAAAATAAAAATTCTGTAATCATTTACTCATCCAGGTATCATTTATTTTTAGCCATACAGGTTTGGAACAACACAAGTTAGCGAGTAAATGTAAATTTTCATTTTGGGGTGAACTATTCCTTCAAGTATACATATAAACACAGTAAAGTATACATATACACAATAAAATTGTTGCAATAACATTCTTTAAATGAACATATTTGATTGTTTTAGAAATGGATTAACGATCTGTATATTGTGCATCATCTAAGTAATATAAATAGAATATGTTAAATTTAAACTTGTGAAAATACATGTCAATTGTGCATTTTCTTGTTTTAGCCATGGTTGTCTTCCATATTTTAAGTCTTTGAAATGAATAGATGACAGTGCTTCTTTGATTGGTCCATATTTATTTAAGAAATCAGTTCTCTGCAATCATTGTACATGACAATTACAAACCTGTACAGTAAGAGATGATTTTATAAAAGCTACAGATGTGACTCTACAATAATTAATACACAGTGCAGGTCCAACAATATATATCAAAAGATTAATAAATGATTAATAACTGGGTGACACAAACAGCTATTTGACGGTGTACTCGCATGCCAAATTTAAGGCAAATGTTTTACACTGTGTCCCACATGGTCCTAATATCAAAATTACCATCCCTCAGACATCGCTCTCAAATAAGTAGGTAATTTTGCCACTAAAAGCCATAACACTGATAGCTATAACCAATAATACTGTACTGAACAGTAGTGGAACGTTGAAATGCATTAACACCAGTTTTGAGCACAGTTATATATATGTGTGTGTGTGTGTGTGTGTGTATAATGAACATTCTAAAAGAAATTCTAAGAATCATGATTTAAAACAAACTAAGACATAGATGATAAAGTCTTTAAAACATTAAATCACTGCATTTTGCTAACAGATATGAGAGATAAAAAACATTCTGTTAAACAGTTCAACACACACAGAGCACATGCATTTTTACAAACAGAGGAGTCTGTAGTTTTCCAGGAACGGTCACACATTGATTTGGTTTTCTTAGCAAAAGACTTTAATCAATATAAAGTGCACATGCATGTGTGTGTGTGTGTGTGTCAGTGTCTTAGGCTTTGGCTTTCTTGATGGGTGGTTCATTGATTCGTGGAACTCCTCCAGATGGTGTGAAGGGGATTCGGGTCGTTACCTTCTTTCCAATGGTCTCGATCTATGCAAAACACAACATTAAACCATGTGAACTAATGGAAGTGAATAGAATGACGAGTCAGAGAAGTGGGTCCACACATAAACGTGTTAAGTGCACAAATAACTACTGACCTGAAAGCCAAAGTTCTGTAGTTGGGGGTGCAGATGGTCCAGGACTCGTCGTCCATCAAAGATAAATGCTGGTTTCAACATCTTGTGATATATTTTCTCATAATCCAGATCCTAAAAACAAACACATAATACTTAACCATAAATAAGTAGCACAATGTAACATGGGATTCTTTTTGTACCATGTATTCCATTATATATACGAAACTATTAATAATTCAGTACACTGGCATTTATCAAAGTACCATGACAGGGCTCAACAGTAAGGAGATTTTAGCCCATACAGATTTTTAGCGCACCAATGTTTTCACTGGACCAAATAAAAAAAATAAAAATAAAATTATACATTATGAATTTAAATCTATAATTTTAATTTACATTTATAATATATTTACATTTATAATTTTGTATATATTCTAAATTATCATTTAAAAAAAACCACTACATTTTTACATTTCTAAATTAAATATATAAAATACATAAACCAAACAATTATTAATTTATAATATTATACTTGCATTTAATTGTCTAATTTTGTATTTATTCTAAAATTATTATTTTAAAAAACAAACTAGTATTATAAAAGTTTACATTTAAATTTCTTATTTAGAATTTACTCTAAAATTATTTGAAAATATAAAGTTAGTATTATAAATGTTTTTTACATTTATACATTAATATGTAAATCAAACATTTACTAATAAAAGATTAAGAAAATTAGCAAAGATACCTGGAAATTAATGCATTAAGGCTAAAAAATGCTAAACATTATCAGTAGATAGTACACAAAACCGACACAAATTGAGTATAATTAAGGTAACGATTTAGACCAGATGGGGTGAGTGACGTAATTGTTTCTAAATGTTTTTTTATTTTTTATTAAATTAAATATTTAAAAAATAATTAATTTTACTTGCACCCAGGGTTTCTGTCATCACTGCCCAGAATTATATATTTATTATTTCCAAGGCGGGCGAATAAATACAATGTTCATTTTAACGGCACAGCTTTGGATCAATTTAGATGACATACGTAGGGTGGAGAGTGATGTAACTTCCTAAAAAGTTTATTTTTATTTTTTATTATTATATTTAAGAAGGGGTCATATTAGTCACAGGTTGTTGTTGTTGTTTTTTTAAAACCTGCACAAATACAGTACAAACAAATACAGGTTTTGTGCCATTTAGATGGCATGGAGTGGAGAGTGATGTCACAGATCCCAAATTATATTTGTTACATTTGCTGAAGGTAAATAGTTAGTGTTTGTTTTAACCACAAACCAAGCACAAATAAACGGCACCTATTTGGAACTGTTTGAACAACATGGGGTGTAGAGTGATGTCACACAATAGTGTGTGTTTTTTGTGCGCCGTGTACCTTAAACATGTCCCACTCTGTGCAGATGACCAGGGCGTGTGCACTTTCACACGCCTCGTAAGGGTCTGACGTCACCGTTACAAGATCACAAACTGCAGACAGAATGAGAGTCAAATTAGACAGAAACACAGAGACACAATAAACTTTGTCCTGCATTCCTAGACATGAGTTTCTCCCCTACACGAGGTTCACCATGACACAGCACTGTCTTTCTCTCCTATCATTCAAAGAGACCTAAAGCACAGTTTTATCTCTCAACACACACACCTCTCCCTGGGCTGTCTCCGGAGATGCTGGGTTGAGACAAATCCTGGATTATCTGCTCCTTTAGCACTTTAGGATCATAAATATGCAGCTTGGCTCCTTCGTCCATCAGATACTTAGAGATATAGATACTGGACGACTCTCTGAAACACACATGCGGGATGGACTTAGAACACAAGAGTCCCGTTTACAGACTAATTATGATTCCATAGGCAAACTAGTAGAAAACAGTATCAAAAAATGCACTGCAAGTCATTTTGGGTAAAGGTAAATCTCACTCAATTGTTGGGGTTATATTGTTTGAGAAAAAAAATAAACCAGTTAATAGAGTAACTTTCATTCAGAAAAAAAATATCACCATTTAATTAGCATATTTTAAGCTACCAAAGAAAATACTTCCAAACAGAATAAACTAATTGTAGCGCATCTCAGAGCAACACAAATTAGCCATGTTTTCCTCCTAAATTAATCAGTGTGAAGGAATTGACTGAGTGAATACTTTAATTCAGTGACTCATTCATAAAGCCAATAAGGATTTAAAAAATTAACACGCTGTCTACAAAAAAGTAACGCTGTCAAATCACTAGCCAATTTGGCAGGTTACTTATATTTACTCACTTTGCTGGGGAAGTTCGTGTAAGCCAAATCTGCGCAGATTTAGCGCAAATTCTCAACTCGTCAGTCAATACAACGTATTGCTCAGAATCTACGCATATCTGGCTTACTTGAACACACGTCCCTACGCAACTAATAACAGTGCGCTTCATTTGCATTCATCTGTCTACCTAAAACACATTTTGGTGATGAGGATGAAAGAGGAAGGGAGGAGACAGCTGGATGACAGGATTTTGTTTGAATAAGAAATGAAATCCAAATTTTATAATATATATATACACACATATATATATACAGAGTTGGGTAAGTTACTCAAAAAAAGTAATCCACTACAAATTACCAATTACTACTTTAAAATTGTAATTTGATTACATTACTGATTACTGCATGTAAAAAGTAATCTGATTACTAATTACTTTACTTTCAAGTTACTTTGAAAACATATTAAAACTACACAAAAATACACTACAAAGTGAAACTCAGTTCTTTCCGTAATTTAATTGGGCGAGCTCTGTGGACCCATAGACTATTATGTCTATTTTGTTGCACAAACGGCAACAAAAACAAACTGGGCTAACCCGCTCCACGAAACATAACAAACTGTTCCAGCCAATGACCGACAAGAAGGGTTTGGGGGTGTGGTTTGGGGGGTTAGTGTGCGGATGAGGAGGAGGGAGGGTCTAGCTAGCCTCCGTTTTGTTTGACAATAGTTCGAACGTCAACAAGAAGTGACGTCACCCAGGATCGCTTAGAGAACCTTTAACTGTTCAATTTGGGGAGGGGAAATGGCTAAATATTTTTTGGGGAAATAGACTTTTGGACCCTACTGTATTATTGAATGGATTATTTACTGCCCCATTCCTTAATTCAAAAAACAATCCATCAAGGGGGAAATAATCCGCAGAGTCATGTTTGTGAGACGATACACATGCAGAGGCATGACTTGTTCTCATTAACTCTAGATAAAGCTCATGGGTGGGATGGGCACGCTTAGCATGTGCTGTGTTATTTTAAGTGTGCAAGTTTTAATAGGATATAGTTCAAACCAAGAAAACTTTGTGTAACCTTCATTACACAAAGTTGATGATTAACTCATGCTCTGACATCTCACAGTCTGTCTGATTTGTAGGTAAGAGAGAAAGAGACAGCTTTTGACTTCTCACATAATAATATGTGATAAAGCTGTCATAAATGAAAATGACTGGTTCAAAGTGTCCCTGCATTTACCTGGTGTCTCCTGTGTCCTTTTTGAAAGAGAAACCTAACAAGGCGATTTTCTTCCCTGTAACTGTGTTAAACAGGCAGTCAATGATCCGACAGGCAAATCTCTTTCTCTGATATTCGTTCATGTCTATCACCTGCACATACAGAAATACAAAGTAAAAGATTAGACAAAAACCACCAAAATAATTTGTAGATAATATATATATCAAATTGTTACTATAGTTGCTGTTTGAAAGTTCATCAGAACTTCAACCGTTTGATGTTGGTATGATTTTTTAAAATGCTTTATAAAGAAGTCTCTTCTGCTCACTAAGGCTGCATTTATTTGATCAAAAATACAGTAAAAAGAGTTATTTTGTGAAATATTTTAAATAATTGTGTTAAATTTTAATACATATTAAAATGTAATTTATTCCTTTGGTGGGAAAGCTTAATTTTCAGCATCATTACTCCAGTCTTCAGTGTCACATGTTTTCTTGTGTTTTCTTGATTGTAGTAAATGTAACTACTGCATAAATGTATAAAAGGGGGTAGGCGTCAATAAGCTTAAGCTTCTGCCTACTCCTTTTGAGGATCATATTCACGTTTTTATTTATTTTCTTACTTATTCATTGCGCATGTATCCTTCTTTAGTTGGCCTACTGTGGTGACCTTTGTTACTATATAGAACTTTGTGGATCCTAGATGCTCAAATAAAAGTAAATCTCTCACATGATCCTTCAGAAATCATTCTAATATGCCGATTGGTGCTCAAGAAAGATTTCTTCTTATTAAGAAGTTTGTTGAAACAGATCTGCCTGATTCTTCGATACATAGAATGTTCAAAGTAACCGCATTTATTTAAAATAGAAATCTTTTGTACCGGTAACCTTATAAATGCATATACCAGGGGTTCTCAACATTTGCACTTTCCTGAAGAGTTTTGCTGTGCTCACGCCATGTTGTAATTACCGTAAATAAAACTCGGTATGCTTTCGAATCACTCTCACTGTACTTTGATGTCATACACTGATCGGCATATGCAGGGCCTATACGGTCCCTTTTGATCAATTTAATGCATCCTTGTTGAATAGAAATATTAATTTCTTTAAAGAATATGATCTTACTGACCCCAAACTTTTCAATGGTAGTGCAAGAAAAAAAATCCCCATCACAGTTCTCAAATAATCTCAAGTGCACCTGGCCTGCACATATTTAAACTTGCTGTTTGTTCATGTAATAACCAATGATGTTTGGTACCATTTGATGACTTTTGGTGAGACTAAAGCTGCCTTGATGCAACTTTTCATTGAACAAAGCCAACATATGCCACCAAGCAGGCCCGGTTCTAGGATTGCGTGACTAGGGCATTTCCAAAACTTGGTGGGGCAGCATTATTTTGTAGTGTTGGTTGGTCACACTTGATTCGATTTATGATTCATAGGTTTTGGCAAACAAAAGCTTTTTTTTTTGTGCAAATTCAGAATGATTTCTAATGAAATTGTATTAAATACTAAAAATGTTATACTTTCTTTGTCTTGCGAGAAAAATAAACTACTTAGGATTGTTAATTGCACCAAAAGTAATTTGAGAGGAACTTTAAATTATGTACAGTTCAAGTCACAATTTTAAAATCCCAAGTGTTTCATGATGTGTGAGCGTTTAAATGGAGACTAGAGCGCAAGGAGCTGTCTGAGAAGCGATCAGATATGAGGTGTGCAAAAGCCTTGAAAGACTGGTCAGAAAAAGGATGTGGATGAGGACATGAATGCTTTTTACAAGTTGAAATCTTTTATTATGGAAATTCTGGCATAACTCATCTGAAGTGCTGAGTGTGTCTATGACGGAGAACTGTAAAAGGATGCGCGCCAGAACATTACAACCGCACAATGTTTCTAGTAATTTGCGTATGTAACTAATTTAGTGTTGATATTTTTTTAAATATTGTGTGCTATAACAAATAATAATAATATAATAGTATCCTGTAAAATAGAGTATCCTGGGGATAATGATGGAGGGGCACAATGAGAATCTAGACCCGGCCCTGCCACCAAAACTAATTAAATCAGTATTCAAATTGAGGTTTACCTGTTGCCAGTATGAAGCAACCTCTGGGAGATTCAGTGCCTCACACAGATACACCAAATTTAGCACATCCTTCTGAAAACAACTTCCTCCAAAACCTGATTCAGACACATACATATTAAGGCAATTTTAATTCTCTATTTTAATTCTTTTAATTCAATTATTTCATTTTGAACACTTTTACAAAGCAAAAAAGTTCCAATAATGTGGAACTAAGATGGGGTAAAAGCAAATGCACTGACCCACGCTGGCTTTGAGGAACTTGCTCCCAATGCGCTGATCCATGCCGATGGCTCTGGCCACCTCCTCAACATCAGCGCCAGTGGATTCACACAGGGCAGAGATGGAGTTTATACTACTGATGCGCTGAGCCAGGAATGCATTCGCTGCCTAAAACATGCACAAAATATGAATTGAATGAATTTTACATATCAAATTAAAGGCTTGGCTACAATTTAACTCATTCACCTGGGAGATTTGTAGGGCTGGACCCGGATATTCGAATATTCGTTCGGTGTGTTGGTATTCGATTTGAAAATGTGACATTCGAATATTCTTCTTTTTTTTTGCACACCTGGCATCCCCCTCGAAACGGTTCTCATTCGCGCTTGAATATGTTTTACACTATAAAATCTGGTGAAATATAATACTTAACATATAACTTCGTTATATCTACTTAATAAATATATTTGCTTCTTCTTGGACTACTAAATGTGTTCCTGCAACGGGAGTATTCTCTGACTAGAGCGCAGAACAGCGGAGTTTGTATGGACAGTGCATGCCTGAGCTTGTGTTTTGGGTTAAGCTGCGTTGCTTTGACATTGTGGAACATAGAATAATAGAAACAAAATGTATTATCCTTTTTACCCTTATCAATCTGAATTAATCTACAGCTAAATATAGGAGACTTTGAGATTTTACTGGGGACGTCACGTTTATTTTTCGTTTTTCTTTATTTAAATTTCGTTTTTCTATATTTAAATTTTGTTTTTATTTATTTGAATTTCGTTTTTATTTATTTAAATCTACCCTACTTTGTCAGTGAGAAAAATATTATAAGACTACCTTATTAAAAATATTGCTTAAGTTAAAAGACGTGTGTGTGTGTGTGTGTGTGTGTGTGTGTGTGTGTGTGTGTGTGTGTGTGTGTTTGTGTTTGTGTGTGATATCACTAGCGCAGTGTCCATTCTCGGAGCATATAAGCCCTGCTTGCGAGGCGCGCCGCTTCTTTATTTAAATCTACCCTACTTTGTCAGTAATTTGTTAGTGAGAAGCAATATTTTTAATAAGGTAGTCTAATATTTTTCTCACTAACAAATTACTGACAAAGTAAGGTAGATTTAAATAAAGAAGCGGCGCGCCTCACTCAAGCAGGGCTTATATGCTCCGAGAACGGACACGGCACTAGTGATATAAAACACACACGTCTTTTAACTTAAGCAATATTTTTAATAAGGTAGTGTAATATTTTTAAGTTAAAAGATGTGTGTTTTTTATATCACTAGTGCCGTGTCCGTTCTCGGAGCATATAAGCCCTGCTTGAGTGAGGCGCGCCGCTTCTTTATTTAAATCTACCTTACTTTGTCAGTAATTTGTTAGTGAGAAAAATATTAGACTACCTTATTAAAAATATTGCTTAAGTTAAAAGACCTGTGTGTGTGTGTTTTATATCACTAGCGCAGAGTCCATTCTCGGAGAATATAAGCCCTGCTTGCGTGAGGCACGCCGCTTCTTTATTTAAATCTACCCTACTTTGTCAGTAATTTGTTAGTGAGAAAAATATTACACTACCTTATTAAAAATATTGCTTAAGTAAAAGACGCGTGTGTGTTTTATATCACTAGTGCCGTGTCCGTTCTCGGAGCATATAAGCCCTGCTTGAGTGAGGCGCGCCGCTTCTTTATTTAAATCTACCTTACTTTGTCAGTAATTTGTTAGTGAGAAAAATATTAGACTACCTTATTAAAAATATTGCTTAAGTTAAAAGACCTGTGTGTGTGTGTTTTATATCACTAGCGCAGAGTCCATTCTCGGAGAATATAAGCCCTGCTTGCGTGAGGCGCGCCGCTTCTTTATTTAAATCTACCCTACTTTGTCAGTAATTTGTTAGTGAGAAAAATATTAGACTACCTTATTAAAAATATTGCTTAAGTTAAAAGACCTGTGTGTGTGTGTTTTATATCACTAGCGCAGAGTCCATTCTCGGAGAATATAAGCCCTGCTTGAGTGAGGCGCGCCGCTTCTTTATTTAAATCTACCTTACTTTGTCAGTAATTTGTTAGTGAGAAAAATATTAGACTACCTTATTAAAAATATTGCTTAAGTTAACAGACCTGTGTGTGTTTTATACCACTAGTGCAGTGTCCATTCTCGAAGCATATAAGCTCTGCTCAGGTGAGGCGCACGCATCCCGTTCGCGCTGTTCTGTAGTTTATTAAAAGTTTATTAATTCTGAACGTGTCGCGTCTCGCCTGTCTATCTATATTGCACCAAATACGACACTGCACTCCCTTGTGAAGTCGTTTGGATGAACGGTTCTCGAAATAATCAAAATGCAAACGGACAGACATATAGAGATTCCGAAGCTTCGAATATTCGATGTTCATTACTACCGAAGCTTCGAAGCTCAAAAAATGGTATTCGGACCAGCCCTAGAGATTTGGTTCGATTAAAACGAACTCTGATGCTCTGTTAGTGCGGTTCATTTGAACAAGTGTGAACAAGTTTGAACCTTGGTGCGCACCAAACAAGTCGACCAAGTTCTCAGCTGCTAAAAATATTATTCTGTGTACGCACATACAACAAGAACAGGTTTTTTTTTTTTATCTTTAGGTTCTATGTTAATTAAACATGACTGTGAAGTGTGAACACACCCTAGTTATACACCTTACATTTACATACCAGTTTGGAAAGTTCAGAGGACCAGGTGTTGGTGGTGATTATGCGTGATTTGGGGACCCAGTGCTCATAAACTGCACAGAGAGCACTGATAGCCCTTTGACCCTCTGGAGTCTCATCTCCACCAATCAGGACACGATCTGGGTCCTTCAGGTCCTTCACTGCTGTACCCTCCGCAAGGAACTCTGGGTTAGAGAGAACCTGTAATCAAAGGCGGGAAAAAGGTTGCTCATTAACACAGAATAGAATAAACTGTGAAGGTCCACAAACCCAGTTTTATAAGTTCACTTGAGAGTTGAGAGAGGCAAAAACTTTGCAGAAAACGCCTTTCAAAACAACAGCCTAATCCTGATTATATTAACAAGTAGATGGTTGTTGTGTAAAACTGTCAAACTGATGTAGAAGCATATTTTACAACACAACTGGTTATATAAAAGTAATTTGTGTGCATACACAAAATGTATTCACAGCATAAAAAAAGACACAGTTAGGAACAATTTCCTTTAACTATTCTATTTAATACCCTCATTGAGTGCACACACACACAAACACACCTATATGCATATTATATATACATTTTTCTTCATATTATCAGTATATATATATATGTGTATGTGTGCGCTCTTATTACCAGTGTTGAAAACAGTTGTCCTAAGTTGTAAGTTTTGTGGACACTGGTATTTTTTGCTAGGATTCTTTGATGAATAGAAAGTTTAACAGCATGTATTTGAAATAGAAATTTCTATAACAAAGTAAGTCTTTACTGTCACGTTTGATCAGTTTAATGTGAATGATTACAGTGAATACTTGTACTTGGAAAAATTGATCACACTGCAAAAAAAGCAAAAAGGTGATTAAAACTGTGAATGTTGACAAAGTTGCAGCACCTAAAACACATTATATATTTATTTACAATTTAACCTAAAATTTTGATGTTAAAAAAAGCTCATGGACATTATTTTTTATTTGTCACCTTCCCCATATATAAGCACAGGAATATTTAGACGTTCACACATACACACCTGTAAGTTGAGGCTAGGTTTGGTGTTTGCATCAAATATCCTACGGATGCTCTCAGCTGCACGGACCGGCACGGTGCTCTTCTCCGTAACAATTTTATACCCGTCCGACATCTCCACGATGCGGCGTGCACATGCCTCAATAAACTTCAAGTCAGCAGCACGACCTTTGCCCATACCGTACGTCTTAGTTGGGGTGTTTACCTGAGAAGAGAGAAAGATATAATACTCTGTGCACACTACAGACCTACAGGTATATACACAACCACATTAAAATAGTTTGTTGCACTCACAGAAATAAAGACCAGATCAGCCTCTTTAATGGCAGAGTCGATATCTGTGGAGAAGAAGAGGTTCTTCCCACGACAAGACAACACCACTTCATTCAGACCCGGCTACAACAGCAAGAAGAAGAGACACACATTTACAACACAACTGCTTATGGTCATTTCTCATTAAAAAGAAGACATTTCACACTTAGATATTTCACCCAAAAATTCAAATTAAAATGTATCATTTACTCACCCTCAAGTTCTTCAAGCCTGTATGAATTTCTTTTTTCTCTGCTGAACAAAAAAAGATTATATTTTGAAGAATGTCGGTAACAAAATAGTCAATGGTGCCCATCAACTGTTTGGTTACCCATATTTTTCTAAATATCTTCTTTTGTGTCCAGCAGAAGAGAGAAATTCATACAGGCTTGAGAACTTGAACAAGAACTTGAGGGTGATTAAATTATGACAATTTTCATTTTTAGGTGAACTATCCCTTTAAATTAAATCTGTAATTAGCTAAAGCATTTGAAGTATTTCTTTACATTTTTACATCTACTATTCAAATATTTAGGGGTAAAAAAAAATTTAATGAGGAAAATATATTTGTGTGCAACGATTTTTCAATTTTAATACAAAAAAAAAAAGTTTAGTTTGTACAATTGCGTTATGGTAAAAACTTTTTACACTTCCCTTTTTTGCTTTCAAAAAATAGGTCTGCAATAGGTCTTCCAAGGCATTTATAAATTACAAACATTTAAGATCAGATGTAGGCCTATGCTCACAAAGGGGGTGGAAGTTAACAGGTCAACCGCATTATTGCTTTTGCGTTGTTACCTCATAGATGGGCAGGGTATCTGAGTTCCAGGCTTTGATCCGGGATTCATTAACATCCACCACCGTTACTGTGATCTCGGGACACATGCTGGCAATGACACTACATGTCGGACCACCAACATACCCAGCGCCTATACAGCAAATCTTTTTAATCTGAAACATCTGAGAAGAGAGACAGATGGAATCAAAGTCACAGTTTATGGCCATAAATGGTGTGCAACAGATTTTGTGATGATTATGAATGGCCTCTTATTAACCAGCCGAATACAATTCATCCTCTTCAGCAGGGATCCAGGGGCTCACGAGGAGGTCAGTGGTAAATATCATATTACTAACCCCAGGGGACATTAAAGGGATAGTTCACCCAAAAATGAAAATTCTGTCATCGTTTACTCACCTCCGTGTCGTTCCAAACCCGTTAGACTTTCGTTCATCTTCGGAACCCAAATGAAGATCTTTTTAATGAAATCTGAGAGCTTTCTGTCCCTCCATTGCCACACACAACTACCACATTGAATCATTGATGCTACAAAAAGAGATCATAAGACTAATCCATATGAGCGGTTTAGTCCAGATTTTCTGAAGAGACTCAATCGCTTTATATGATGAACACATTGGATTGAGGCTTTTAATCACATTTAAACATTGGTCTGCGAACATAAACATTAGCTCTACCGAATCTGCTTGACGAGCAAAAACAAACCTCATTGGTCCTTGCGGAAGCTCAAAGGTGCTGCGTAACACGAGAATGAACCTCATTGGTTCTCACACCTCAAGCAAACATGCTTGAGCTTCCTTTTACCACAACTGATGTGAGTTGATGAATGTTTAAATGTGAATAAAAGCCTAAATTCAATCTGTTCGCCATATAAAGTGATTGTGTCTCTTCAGAAAATTTTAACTAAACCGCTCAATTCATATTAATTAGTTTTACGATCTCTTTATGAACTTTTTGAAGCATCAAAGTGTCAGTTGCATAGCTGTAAATGTAGGGACAGAAAGGTTTTAGATTTCCTCAAAAAGATCTTTATTTGTTTTCTAAAGATGAATGAAAGTCTTACAGATTTGGAACAACATGAGGGCGAGTAATTAATGACAGAATGTTCATTTTTGGGTGAACTATCCCTTTAAGTAGTGACACTCAGCGTCCCAAAATCAGATTCAGTGATTCTTTTATATAGTATATGTAATATATTATATATTCAGTGATCTCTTAATTTTTTTTTTTTTTTTAAATGAATCCCTATTCTAAAATCAACTCGGTCTCGTTTGTTTGTTAAATTTGTAAACACCAAAAACATTTTACATTATTTTTCAAAATAATTATAAAATAATTGTGAATATTAAAAGTGTATATAACTTATATTTAACCCCATCAGTCTAATCCTCAAATCAGCGGGTGTTGTTGACTCGACAATCACTCAAGACTGATTCAACCCAATTCGCGAACAAATCATTCAGAGCCGTTTTGCGAAACGGTCAGCTAAGAGATTCATTGAAAATATTCGACTAAAAAAAACGAACCGTAAACGTAATTAACGTTTATGGCTCTTCTTTAATAGCCATAAAATAACTAATAAGAACCAGATCAACTTTTAAAGATACAAGTGAAAGCATTTTCCCCCAAAAAAAGTTTTATAGATGCCTGTCGATACTTTTAACATGTAAAATGTAATGAAATGTAGTATTTATTTGATTGCTTATGTTCTCATGATGAATACATGGTTATTTGAACTCTTTCAACTTTTATAACTGATCTGTTCAATAATTTATAGACTTAAAGAATATCAGTTCAAATTCTGTATAGCTTCAACCACAAACTTTAAATTCAATGAGTTCAATAAGATCCACTTTAAAATCTTTTTAAAATAAATAAATAAATAGCTATAAATAAATCACATAGACTTACCTTGTCTCACAGTAAAGTTCTTCAGTTAAAACACTCCTCAGTGTGAATCAAGGCTGTGCAGGTGACGTTGCTCCGTCTGAGGTGCCTTGTTCCCGAATGAATAAAACTATTATATCCTTGATACATACACTCACGAAGAACACACACACATACAGCAAACTCACACTCACTCACTCACTCACTCACACACACACACACACACACACCCACCGGGAGGAGGATAGCAACGTAAACACTTCTGAGAGGGGCGGGCATGGGCGTCTGCTTCCGGGGCATGAAGTCTTTTCAAACTAAGAGCCTCGTTAACTTGAGCAGGAGCAAACTCAATCTTAGTTTGTCTGTGATTTAAACCAAGCAAATGAATCGTCATAGAACGAAACGTTCTATTATTATTATTTCTTTACTACTTAAATGTAATTTATTAAGCTCCTAAATAAAAATATGGCCAAATTGAATATTGGGCACTTGCCATTTGACATGAATTTCATTACAGCGAAACATACGTGTGGATAACGGAGACGTTTCAGCAGCAGCCAATCAGTCACTGGGACGTTTTGTTGACGTAATCAGAGGAAATCATTAGTGGTCTTTTTGACGCAGAAATTATTATTGAGAGTAGTCATACTAAACCATTTTAATTAGAAACGTATAAAAAGACTAACCACCACCAATAAATAGTCCCCAACAAAAGAAAGGCAAAAGAAGTGATGCTATTGTTTATATTTATTTTTAAGTATCCAAAAGTGCATAGATGAAGCCCTTTCATAGAGCAGTTTTATTAGAACAGTGTACATAGACAGAATTCAATTTACATGCCCTGAAATCCACACCACCACCTTCCAGAAATCATTAGTCTGTCCAATTAATCAAACTGACTTTAGTGCCATTAAGGCATTCTAACATTTTCATTTTTCACAGAACTGAACAGACAGGGAAGTTTCCCCAAGAAGTTCAACCACACTTGAAATCGAGATTAACATTGTATCTTTGGTGTTTTTCTGGAGCTCCGCCTTGTGTACACAAACGTAAAGGTGCCAAAACCAAAGTGCTAGTTGGTAGATTTGCCAAAATTCCAAAGTAACCCATTTAAATTTTATTTTGAAAGATAAAATTGTTTTTAGATTCTCATCACTGAAATTTATTCTAGAAAGTATAGCAACATAATGATTCCGGAGCAAACGCAACAAAACTCTGTTCAGATTGGCATTTAACAGTCTATACTAGCAGTTGCACTAACGGTTTTTATACATGAAGGATAAATAGACTGTCATAGTCTTCAGGGTGGAGATGTCTGTTTTAGATCAGATCTCAGACCATTCCCAAACACCCAAACATTCACACAGCCATGACTACAGAAATAAGTGCCAAGTAAATACTGGAATACTCCCATTTCATTATTTCCTCTTGCACAAAATTGTGAAATTTAAGTAGTAGTCTTTGTCAACCTCAAATGTGTGAATCATTTCAAAGTACATCTGTATTCAGAATGACCTAATGCAGAGTCAAGGCTAATGCTCTAACATGGACCAATGACCTCATGTCTGTGAAGTCATCATAGCTTTGGAATGTATAAGCTACCAAAGGACAAGACATTTTATTCTCTCCACCTCAGTCTACTTGAAAATAACCCAAATCTCTTGATGACACACGATAACTAGGTAACCTTTACTGCAATTTATATTCAGTCTGATCTAGGTTAAGTGTCATTACATAAGCGTATATGTTATTTTAACAACTTGCTAAATACCTAATAAGGCTTTATAATAAAAACAGAAGAAGTAAGAAATTGAAGACTGAGATATATAAACCTGAAAATCATCAGACTATAACAACTGACCACTTGGACAACTTTCTTTTTTAACTCCCTTTTGAAACGCAACTAGCATTGTAGAAACACCTTGTTATCCAATAGTCTGTGTAGATCACCCTCTCAATATTGGACTAAAGAATCTGGAATCAGAAATACTGACAGATGATTAAGGAAGCTAACAAGTTATACTGGTCACAGTAGCTGATCAGGTGGAAGCTGGATTAAAAGATCAAATCTTTTGTGCAGGGTTCTAGTCCACTGGAGGTGCTGGTGGCTCTCTGCCGTGATTCTAAATAATAAAAAAAAAATCCATCCAATGACAACACGAATTACAATATCAATCAAGTAATTCAAAGTTAAAGCAGCCCATAATACAAATGAGATGATTTACTGATGGTTAAAAGCTATTAAGGATGTATACTTTGCTACACTTTCTGATTACCGTTATCATGTGGAGGTCATTGAGTTTGATTACGGCTTACTTATAAGTGATAACTGACACAGTTTAATCATTATAATGCTCATTCATTAATGATTTGAGGGAGTTTGTCTGGCATGACTTACGCCATGGGGACTGGAGGGCTTGCCGCTGGTTGAAGAGCCCCTCAAGCTGGCTGGGCGGAACAGAAAGATCACGAGAGCTAGAACTAGCCATCCCATAATAATCATGGGCAGAGTGATGTCCCCTTCTACTGAGGAGTTGGGGCCTGGTACTGCGTACATACAAAACTCAATTTTAAAAAATAACACACAGCATGTGTGCTATGTGTTATTTGCCTCTTTTTTAGACGGACAGACTTACTGTCCTGAAGGCACTCTGTGTCTGTACAGTAGGACTGTGACTGTCTCAGCTTGGAAAGGAATCACAAAGACAATATTTTAGCTAAACAACAGGCTAAAAAAAAACATACTCTATGGATGAAATGACAACATTGGGATTCTCAGTTGAAGCAGTTTTAGAACAAAACGGGTGCTTCTACATTACATTAATTCATAAAACATTCATTAAAATTTCACTTAACTTGTCTGAAACAATCAACGTACACGTGTATCCCTCTGCAAAATGCCAGTTCCCTGCCCGTCGGTGTATGAATGAGTGAGTGAATGGGTGAATGTGAGGCAAATTGTAAAGCGCTTTGGTGGCTATTGGGTCAGTGAAAGCGCTATATAAATGCAGTCCATTTACCATTTACCATATATATATATATATATATATATATATATATATATATATATATTGATATATATTGATATTAAATTATATCATATTTCTATTTCTGTTTAATACCGCAACATTTTTACAATTTTTAATAGGGCAAAAACTATTCAAACGTTTCCTCTACAAACAGTTGAATCAAGTGTTATTTTGCCTGAACCAAAGGATCACTAGCGCCCTCTATTGGTCATTCATTCAGACCACAACAGCAAAATTATTAAACACCTAGCATCCTTTTAAAAAGATAGGTATTTTCTATGATTTTTCCTAAATGTATTTTTTAATAAAGACTTAAAGATTTTTTTAATAAATTGGCTAGATGAAGTTGGTCCTGTATATGAAGTTCCTTCTGTTATTGCATTGGCCACTACAGCTCTCGAAATCTACAAACCTGTCTGGAACATGGAGGCCCTGTCAGATTGGCACACATCCAAATGACATTAAATCAAAATGCCTTTCGACACCGCTTTTGCAATAATTAATTAGTATCATAGTTTCATTAGCAACTGTTAAATTCATTCACTTACAACTCTCTCTCTCTATTATAAAAATTCCTGACATTAGTTTTTGACCGTTTTTGAAGAAGTCTCTTATGCTCAAAAAGGCTACATTTGTTTGATTAAAAATACAGTAAAAAAAAACCTGTAATATTGTAAAATATGATGACAATTTAAAATAACTGTTTTCTATTTTAATATATTTTAAAATGTCATTTATTCCTATAATGGCAAAGCTGAATTTTCAGCATCATTCCTCTAGTCTTCAGTTCAGTGTCACATGATCCTTCAGAAATAATTATAATATGCTGATTTGGTGCTAATTATCAATTATTATTGGTGCTCAATTACTAATAATGTTTTTTATTGGCTGCTTAATGTTTTTGAGGAAAATGTGATACATTTCCTTTAAGAATTCTTTGATGAATAGAAAGTTCAAAAGAATATCTTTTGTAAATGTCTTTACGGGCACTTTTGATCAATTTAATGTGTCCTTGCTGAATAAAAGTATATATATATTTTTTTTTTTTTTTTTTTTTTAATCTTACTTACTCCAAAAAAAATTATGATAGTGTATCACAGTTTCCACAAAAATATTAAGCAGCACAAACTGTTTTCAGAATTGATAATAATAAGAAATGTTTCTGGAATTTTACTGGAATTTTCATCAAATAAATGTAGAGGTGACCATAAGAGACTTCATTCAAAACCATTAAAAAAATAAAAAAAATATTCCAAACTGTTGACCAGAGGTGTATCTTTTTGTACCAAGAAAAGAACAGAAATCCAATATGAGGAGAGGGTCCATCTTAATTCTTCACTTTTCTTTCAGATCATACAGATCAATGTATCAATTAGTTTCTATAGAATTCATCGGATTAATTTCTAATAGCTGATCCAGAGAAGGCTCACACATTAAGCATGTATTGTTTTGCTATTATTACAATTTGATGGTGAACTCACCAGGTTGATAAGTCTCCTCATGGCATGTTCATGAGAGCAAATGCACTCACAGGGGTCATAACCTCCTTCTGCCATCCTCTCCTGAATAAGACACAATTCACACACATTCTAGACACTAATAATAATAATACATATTTTGAACACACACACACCACAGAGACAGAGCTCAAATCTGCATGGGTGTGGTGAATTAGAAAGGTTTCTTTCACATGGGAAGGTCTATAGGACTCATTTGAAATTCAAATATACACAAATCTGTGGTAGACTAGCTACTTTAAATACTCAAAATATCTATTTTAGGCCTGCAGTTAATGATCTCTACACTAACTGAATATATATATATATATATATATATATATATATATATATATATGCACTCACAGGGTTCATAACCTCCCTCTGCCATCCTCTCCTGAATAAGACACAATTCACACACATTCTAGACACTAATAATAATAATACATATTTTGAATGTATTATATATATATATATATATATTAATGCATGCAATTCATTTTTTCCAGTTTAAAGCGTTATTTTTTTAAAGACAATTAAAGCAGCATCCATTTTTCTGTAATTCTTTGGCTAGTGTTACATTATATGATCTTTTATTCATGCAAATGTTTTTAAACCATTCAATATATTTTTAATTTATACAGTGCAGACTGTTTGATAACTTTGTTTAATTTATGTATATTTCCTACCTGTTAGACAGTAAGGGCACAGGTAAATATGACATTTATATGATTGTTTTAAGTTCACTTAAATTAAAAGCTGTTATATTTTTTGAAGCCTAATAAATGTTTTAAAAAAAGAGATGTTAATTACACTGTATTGTTGAATGGCTAACTAATGTTTAAAATTGAAAAACAATATACATTTTTATAGAGACATCATTAGCAGCATTAGTATTAGTGATTCTGGCCTTCATTCATGAAAAGATGCCATTAAACAAATATTTAAAATATACTGTCTTTATGTTGTTTCTACATTAGTTTGGAGATTAAATGTGAAATTATTACAATATAAAATATATTAAAAATGTAAGTATTTTAATCACGATTAATCACAGAAAAAAAAGTGATTAATCTAGTTAAAATGTAATCGATTGACAGTGTGTGTGTGTGTGTGTGTGTGTGTGTGTGTGTGTGTGTACATATACAGGTCCTTCTCAAAAAATTAGCATATTGTGATAAAGTTCATTATTTTCCATAATGTAATGATAAAAATTAAACTTTCATATATTTGAGATTCATTGCACACCAACTGAAATATTTCAGGTCTTTTATTGTTTTAATACTGATGATTTTGGCATACAGCTCATGAAAACCCAAAATTCCTGTCTCAAAAAATTAGCATATCATGAAAAGGGTCTCTAATCGAGCTATTAACCTAATCATCTGAATCAACTAATTAACTCTAAACACCTGCAAAAGATTCCTGAGGCTTTTAAAAACTCCCAGCCTGTTTCATTACTCAAAACCGCAATCATAGGTAAGACTGCCGACCTGACTGCTGTCCAGAAGGCCATCATTGACACCCTCAAGGAAGAGGGTAAGACAGAAAGAAATTTCTGAACAAATAGGCTGTTCCCAGAGTGCTGTATCAAGGCACCTCAGTGGGAAGTCTGTGGGAAGGAAAAAGTGTGGCAAAAAACGCTGCACAACGAGAAGAGGTGACCGGACCTTGAGGAAGATTGTGGAGAAGGACCGATTCCAGACCTTGGGGGACCTGCGGAAGCAGTGGACTGAGTCTGGAGTAGAAACATCCAGAGCCACCGTGCACAGGCGTGTGCAGGAAATGGGCTACAGGTGCCGCATTCCCCAGGTCAAGCCACTTTTGAACCAGAAACAGCGGCAGAAGCGCCCGACCTGGGCTACAGAGAAGCAGCACTGGACTGTTGCTCAGTTTTGCATGTCATTCGGAAATCAAGGTGCCAGAGTCTGGAGGAAGACGGGGGAGAAGGAAATGCCAAAATGCCTGAAGTCCAGTGTCAAGTACCCACAGTCAGTGATGGTCTGGGGTGCCATGTCAGCTGCTGGTGTTGGTGCACTGTGTTTTATCAAGGGCAGGGTCAATGCAGCTATCTATCAGGAGATTTTGGAGCACTTCATGCTTCCATCTGCTGAAAAGCTTTATGGAGATGATTTCATTTTTCAGCACGACCTGGCACCTGCTCACAGTGCCAAAACCACTGGTAAATGGTTTACTGACCATGGTATTACTGTGCTCAATTGGCCTGCCAACTCTCCTGACCTGAACCCCATAGAGAATCTGTGGGATATTGTGAAGAGAAAGTTGAGAGACGCAAGACCCAACACTCTGGATGAGCTTAAGGCCGCTATCGAAGCATCCTGGGCCTCCATAACACCTCAGCAGTGCCACAGGCTGATTGCCTCCATGCCACGCCGCATTGAAGCAGTCATTTCTGCAAAAGGATTCCCGACCAAGTAGTGTTGTCAAAAAAACTCGGTACTTCGGTACCAAGTCGGTACTAAAAACAATTAACGGTTACGGTACCAGCTTCTCTAGGTACCGAGTACCGGGTTAATCCGGTTCTTGATGCGCTGTCCGAAAGGTGCAGAGTTGCGTCCACTTCATAAAAACACATGGCGATCGGCGGCGCTGCTAAGCGTTGGCTCTGAATCCAGTTGTTGACAAGAAAGGAGGAAAGAGCCACATATGGAAATATGTTGAATTAGGCTAATGTCACGTTGCCATAAAGGTCCGTTCACACGTTCACATAGCACGTTTTTTGCGCGCGTGCAAATTTCAAATGTAGGCGCGCGTGAAGCGCGCTCATAATAGAAGCGACGTGCAAGCTTGTTTTTCCAGGCGCGTCACTGTTTGCATAGCGGAGACGCGAGAGCGAGCGCTTGTGGAGAGGTGGAGAGAAGGAGAAAGCGGTGCAAACTGCGCTCTCCGTGATGACGAGGAAGTATCAGCAAAGAATTAATTGATTTCTAGCCCTTGCATTAGAAATCAGCTACAGGGTTCTCAAGTTTTGAAGACAGGCAAGAGTGACATTTTTGGCAGTTTTGGATTAAATAAAAGTAGGCTACAGTTAAGTCAAATAAAACATGTTTTATCTCCTGTATAGTTTGGTAACACTACAATAAGATACCATTCATTAACATTACTTGATGTGTTAACATCAACACATTGAGTGAACGATATATTTTTACAACATTAATTAATGTTTGTGAATGTTATTTAATACAAACACTTGATTGTTCATGTTTGTTCACTTAATTCATTGTGCATTAAATAATGTTAACAGATAAAACTTTTGATTTAAAAAATGTATTTAGTATATTTTTAAATTAACCCCAAGGAGAATAATTGCTATGTATATAACTATAGGTTTATTGTTAGGTCATTTTATCTAATGTTATCTAACAAATATAATCTTATTGTAAAGTGTTTTTAATACTACAGTTTCCATCTTTGTAACTGTGATATACACTTTAATATATGTAAATTTTATCTAAATTAAGCTTTGGTACCGAAATTGGTACCGAGAACCGTGGATTTTCACTGGTATTGGTACCGAATACTGAAATGTTGGTACCGTGACAACACTACGACCAAGTATTGACTATTGGGTGCATAACTGAACATAATTATTTGAAGGTTGACTTTTTGTATTAAAAACACTTCTTTTATTGGTCGGATGAAATATGCTAATTTTTTTAGACAGGAATTTTGGGTTTTCATGTGCTGTATGCCAAAATCATCAGTACTAAAACAATAAAAGACCTGAAATATTTCAGTTGGTGTGCAATGAATCTAAAGTATATGAAAGTTAAATTTTTATCATTACATTATGGAAAATAATTAACTTTATCACAATATGCTAATTTTTTGAGAAGGACCTATATATATACATATATAGATGATTCATCTAATGAACATTATTTGTGATGGGGGAAAGTGTATCTGGATAAAAATGTGTCTGTTTGACTACTTGAAACATAAACAAAATAAAACTGTCCAAGCACCAAATTGCTCCTAAATTTCTTTTATCTTTTTTCACTTTCGTATTGGCCCTAGTTTTACCATATAGACAAACTCTCTCAAAACTCGACGCTTGTTTGGGGCGTTTTAATATGTGAGAGTAGCCTAAATGCATCAGCCTACGAAACTGTAAACAAATAAAGTCAGGTTTCAGGGAAGAACGACGCTTACTCAAAGCGATGATTTACTATACTTTTCCCAAAATAACACGACAAAAAAGACGTTTGATGCAAATTTCTTGTTTTTTCAGCTAACGTTACGTTTTTTCAAAACTTGGTTCTGTTTTGTTGCTTCTCTTAGATAACTTCACACTCAGCCGGCTGACTTGAATAAACTGTCTAAACAAAAGCCACTCATAAACACAAAATGTCGTTGAAGTAATATAAACAACTAGAATAAAAACACGTTTCACATCATGAGATGCCCTAAATATTCTGAAGTTCTTGCTTAAGCTGTTTGACGTAGGCTATTATTGGGATATCTTCGAGGAGGATGGAGGAATTATAATTACCGGTATTGCTTAAAGCATCGTAATTGATTGAATCTGCAGACAGCATTAAAAAATACTAATAAGACAAAATTAAATAAAAAGTTAACCAAAATGGAAAACACAAGATTTTGGTAAACAGATGTCTTACCACTGACTTCGACAACTCACTCGAAGAGATATAAAAACATTCGCTTCAAACCAGGAGGACCGATATGTGAATATGTGACCCGAGAGTCTCCGGTCGCACAGGCCGAATCCAGTGCGAATGCTCCCTGCCCTATGTACACTGCTATTTGGCAATGGGCCGCAGATCCGGCTGATGTTCCGTCTGTGTTTTGATAAGGATCAGGAAAGCAAAATTAGGAATGTTACTATGGCGAAGGCTTGGTTCATGAATTGTAATGAGCTTGCGCTGACGGTTGTTTTACATCCTTCCTGGGGCTTCCAATTGCGTAGCTTAATTATTATTCATGAGGTAAGTCTTCGTCGCTTTAACGTCTACATTATTTCAGCAAATCAGCAAGGTCGACTGGGCGACCAAAACACCTCGTAATTAATATTAATGAGAGAAGCCTTCACTATAGTTGGATTCGTACATTCGTCTGGTGGAATCATTTTTTACAAGCTATGGAACTAACAGATGGGAGCCACGTCGCTACATGACGTGAAACGTCGCAGATTTTGGTAAACACTGAAATGCCGTTGCTTTTCTCACCGTTCGCAGAGCGCATCACCTATTCATTGGTTATCATCGGCATTCTGCCGGGCCGGTGTTGTGCCGAATTTCGACCCCCTGCCAAATTATTACCCCCCTCGTTGAAGTCAGTACCTGATTGCCTAATCCCAACCCCGCCCCTAATCCTAACCCCTCCCCCACAACTAATCCTAAACCTACCAATGCTAGGGGGGTAATAATTTGGCGGGGGTCGAAATTCGGCACAACACCGGCGGGGTGTAAATAATGAAATGCATAATTGCAGTGCACATCACTTACAGTCGTGTGTGTGTGTGCGTGCGTGCGTGCGTGTGTGTGTGTGTGTTGTGCTCTTATAATCTAGGGTAATAGATTAGCCCCAGCTGCATTAAAAGTTGTATACATACACATAAAGAAGCGAAGAGTAATTTTGGAAAATGTTTTTAAAAACAAAGTAACAAAAATATATAATATATATATATATATATATATAATAAACATAATTTGACATTTTTGTGTTGTATGAGGCCTACAGTGAAAACCCATAATGATGTGATAGGCTATGTTACTGACATTAAGAGTACAACTACCTGTAAACATTTATGTGAATAATTACTGCATGTGTGGTAACATTCCCCCATGCACAATTAAGGCAACAGTGACACCAGCATACAAATACTCATAATTCTGCTTTGCTGAAATTCCAGAATTGTGTTAGACACAATCCCAGTTAACAGGGAACATTCTCAGAACTTCCCTAACATTCTGGCAAGGTTCTCTTAAAGTTATGAACAAACATTCTTCCAGTAATGTTAATAGAACATTCGTTCAAAGTTATCTGGTCCTTCATGCATGGCACATTTTTTCCTGAAACATTTTTAGTACATTTATAAACTAACATTTCTTCTTGTTTCAGATTGTTCAGAGAACATTCAAAAGTAACAAAGTTTTCAAAATTGTATGTTCCCTTAACATTCACATAACCAAAACATTTTTAAAAAATTTCGTTTTTAACATTCAGAGAACTTTCAGAAATAACATTATTAGTGATTGCATTATTAGTGATGGCATTACTTAAAAAGTTAAATATTTAAAAAGTGCATATCAGGTAAAATAATACTTTTAGGATTTAATTGACTTGGAGTGGGTTGCCTAATATGGAAGTCACCATGTTAAGGTCACATGACCAACTGAATACTGAAAAAATACAGAAAATGGCTGATTGTAAAAAAAATAATTTATACGGGATCGTAATGTGTAGTGTTAAATCGCTAAGTATCTAACATGCCAAGTAAACTGGCATGCCAATCAGTTAACTTGATATCTTTGTAACTTATAGCTCTCATCTAGTGGGGTTAAGAGATCATGTAATGGTGAAAACTACTTAATAAAAAGATGAGTACTTTTGTAAAGTGAATAGGGCTTTTGCACTTTTTACCTCAGCAATCTACTTTAATTTCACACCAAAACTTCAGACTAACAATTGACATGTCTCATGATGTTGGGATGATGTTTTCTTATTAAAAAAAAAAAAAAAAAAAACAAACACATGATGCTACATGACATGCAACCACTTAGTGTGCTTTGCACCAAAACAATCTTTTTTTCTGACTGTTTTTCATAACCAGAGATCAATTTTGGGGGGCTGTTATTGAGAGAAGCCTGTCCCCCTAATTTTAAGTCAGCATGAAACAGAAGTTGTCTTTCTTCTCTATTGTGATGCATATCCAAGTGAAATGGCTTATCGAACAAGAAAAACGAGGGGTTGGACTTGATTTCATCCATCTGGAATTGATTGGATCATTGTGGTTTGCTATTGCTGTGATCTCTTGTGATCTCAAGTTTGTGATTTTTTTTTATGTTTTGAAAGAAGTCTTGCTCACCAAGGCTGCAGTTGTGTGAGCACAAAAAAGTCAGTGTCACATGATCCTTCAGAAATCATCTGATTTGGTGATCAAGACACATTTCTTATTAATAATGTTGAAAAGAGTTGTGATTCTTCATATTTTTATGGAAACTGATTTTCATGATTATTTTATTAATAGAAAGTTTAAAAGAACAGTATTTATTTGAAGCAGAAATCTTTGGTGACATTATAATTTAAATGTCTTTTCTGTCACATTTGATGGATAAATATTCAGCCCCAAAAATCTTACTAACCCGACATTTTTGAATGGTAATGTTTAATAGATAATTGTGTATGTTACATTCAAATATCTTCATTTATGTGACTGATAATTGTGTAGGTTACATTCAAATCGCCTAATTTATGTTCATTTCCGTATACAATTGAGGCCTATATGATTTACTATTGATTTGTTAATTAAAAATATAAATTGTTAGCAAAAAAATTGCAGGGGTGAGGATGGACAGATGTGTTTTGCTTGTATCACGTGGGAGTGAAACAGATGCATCCACGATATCATGTGACAGCAGCACTCCATAGGGGACTGATACTAGATCTGAAAGCTTTCTGGATATGTCAAGAGCCCTGCTTTTCAACGCATAATATCTCCACCTGATTCAACAAAGAGGACAAACGCAGTGTTCTAGTGCAGCGTTTGAGTTTTCCAGGCTCTCATTGTGTTTGCACTGGAGTTCAGCGTACTGTTTAGGAAAGAGAGAGCGAGCGAGCGAGCGAGCGAGAGAGAGAGGGGTGTGAAAGTGAAGCTCTATCAGTCTTTGCGGACTGGAGGTTCAAAAACAGCGGAAGAGAAAGAGTGAAAGAGAGGGGAATTAATCAGCCATGGCAAATATCGCTGTGCAGAGGATCAAGCGAGAGTTTAAAGAAGTGCTGAAGAGCGAAGAGGTTTGCAAAACGTTACTTTACTCTATTTGTACAAACAAAAGGACTTTGGGGGATAAACATTCAGAAGCCAATGAGCTAGCTTAGCATGCTAAGCTAATGTTAGCATGAGCTGTTTTATGATGGCTTTTAGATACGGAAGTCATACATGAAAAAAATGTACTTCCCTTGATGTTTTAAGACGAAAGCCTAGTCCGAAATGCGACAATACTTTATAGACACATCAAAGAACGGCTAGATTTGTGATGGCATACGCCGAGCTTTAGCTATGGAGCAAACATGCTATTTGACATAGTTAGCCTGCTAGCTTCACTAACACTTGTTTAGTGTGCTATAATAATATAAGCACTCTTGTTTATCGCCCATTAATGTAGGTTTTATCTTTCAAAATACTTTTTTTATTCTTTTACTTGTATCCAGACATGTTTGATTAAGTGTCAGTTTGCTGCTAGGCTGTTTGAGTAGTTTTCAGTAGTGCAGTACCATGGCTGTTTCTTAACATTTTGAGCTGCCTACCTAGACAGCTTTTTTGGGAATCATAGGCTCCTATCATGTTGTCTACCTAGGCAGCTCATTATGTTTTGAGACAGCCTCACGACTATATAACTTACTGGTCACTTCTTTGTTCTGGGCAATAGAATGAAAGACAACTACCTTGTCTCACTAGCTAAATGTTTGATTCTGACATTTTTTCCTGATCACATAAAGTGCACAATAGTTAAACTTTTTTTTATCGGTTTCCATTTTTGTTTTGCTTTATAACAGACAAGTAAAAATCAAATAAAAGTAGATCTGGTGGATGAAAACTTCACAGAGTTAAAGGGAGAAATAGCAGGACCACCAGACACACCATATGAAGGTAGAGTGACTATTTTTTTCAGTCTTCTCTATTGCTTCCATGATGTTTGCAAATACATTAATGTTGTGGATAAGATTGTAACTTACAAGCTATTTTCCCCCACAGGGGGCCGATATCAGCTAGAAATCAAGATTCCTGAAACATATCCTTTTAATCCACCAAAGGTAATCTTTTTTAATATTTGATGTTTTTATGAGTATTAGTTATTGTGGTTAAAATATAATTTAGTGTAATTCTATGTGAAACAGGATTTTCAATAGGAAACTAAGGAAAGCATGTAGCTTGATTTTACCAGTCAGGAATATATTGGATGGTTAATAGTGGGTCTTGCATACCATGATGGAAGGCAGGTGTTTAAAGACACACAACCATGTTCACTTAATATTAAATATTAATAACTTACTAATTTATTAGCATCTTCTGCACCATTTGAAAGTTATAGAGTGGTGAGTATTATTACGTTTCCATGGAATTAACTAATTTACAGATTTTTATTTCGTCTGCCACTTTAATGCTCAAGCTCTTAAAGCTGGATGGATTCTTTTGGGCTGTCATTGTATTTATTGTTCATTAGCTGGAAAAATAGTTTTAAAAGTGATTAGAATGACATTGTTTCTTTGTGCCATTGTCATTATTGTTGTGATGTGGACTGCTGTTTTTTTAATATTTCAAATTATTTCTGCAACTGTTTCTTTATCGTTATAGTAATCATCCTTCGTGTGAACAGGGCTTTACAGTCTCTAGGAGTCGACACTAGTTGCAAAAATTCAAAGGCAGTTTGTAGATTTAACCAGTCTTCAAGAACTCAGTAATTTCTGTGGCAGCTAAACCTATTCATGCAATAATTACCACTACTGACACATTATATAAAAATACCTGCTAGTATCAGTATGTTCTAAATGGGACTGTAAACACAGAGATGACAACAGAAATTTGTAATCATAAATTATTAAAGTCATGTTTTATCAGTGTAATAATTCAACTTTAATTTTTTAGTTCCAATACAAGAGTTACATTTTTCTATTTTTAATTTAACTTATGGGGGGTCCCCCCAATTCCCCCTCAATTCTAGCACTGTGCACTGATGAATCGTTCACAAGAAGAGCCGGAACGTGCACTAACAAAGAAGATGTGATCGATTATGATTTATTGTTGACTTTAATTGAGAGATCAAAGGATGTTGAACTTAAAACATGATTTTTTTTTTTCATCTTTTTCAGGTGCGGTTTATTACTAAAATCTGGCATCCCAATATAAGTTCAGTTACGGGGGCGATATGTTTGGACATTTTAAAAGACCAATGGTGAGTGCTTATTAATTAATGAGTATGATATGTCTAGTTTATTGTTATCTAGCATATCCTGCATCATCTAATGCTTTTGACACTGTACTCTAAACTATTGTCTCTTTCCTGTTCCTGTTCCTTTTTTAAAAAGATTCTGTACTCATTCTTCAACTACTACTTATTCTGTCTTCACTTCCTGTGTACAGGGCTGCTGCTATGACATTGCGAACAGTCCTGCTGTCACTACAGGCTCTGTTAGCTGCAGCAGAGCCAGATGATCCCCAAGACGCTGTAGTAGCCAATCAGGTACATATTTGTGTAAAATATGCATCTGTCAGTGTGTCTGTCTGACTGAGAATGTGCAATAACAAAGCATTGCAAACCTTTCAAGTACATCACTGTTGTGTTTTTTTTTTTTGCAGTATAAGCAGAATCCAGAAATGTTCAAACAAACTGCTCGTCTCTGGTCTCACGTTTACGCCGGTGCTCCCGTCTCCAGTCCTGAGTACACACGCAAAATAGACAAACTTTGTGCAATGGGCTTTGACAAAGTAAGTACTGAAAATGGACAGCTGCTAGTGTGGTTAAATTCAGAGATGCACATACTACAGCAGGGGTTGGCAACCTTAGGGGCGCGTGGCACTATTGGCACATGTTGCCTTTAGCTTTCAGCACATTACTTGATATTAATTGGATATGAACACTGTCACTGAGTTTTCAAGCTTGTCCTATTACGGTCCTTAAAGGGACAGTTCACCCAAAAATGAAAATTCTGTCATTAATTACTCACCCTCGTGCCGTTCCAAACCCTAAGACTTTCGTTCATCTTCAGAACACAAATGAAGATATTTTTGATGAAATCTGAGAGATTTCTGTCCCTCCATGGACAGCTATGCTACTACCACTTTGACTCTTCAAAAAGTTCATAAAGAGATCGTAAAACTAATCCATATGAATTGAGCGGTATAGTCTGAATTTTCTGAAGAGACTCGAACGATTTATGTGATGAACCACAAGCACTTGTGTAAAAATGCTATAAAGTGAAAATTCTTTCAAAAATAATGTCATAAATGGATTTTATTTATCATATAGGTACACTTGCGCATAGTTTTTCAGCTTTGCAGGAAGGTTTCTTCAAACGTCTTGAAGAGGGTGCCACAGCCTAAATTCAATCTGTTCGTCATATAAAGCTATCGTGTCTCTTCAGAAAATTTTGGACTAAAAACAGCTTAATTCATTTCGATTAGTTTTACGATCTCTTTATGAACTTTTTGAAGCATCAAAGTGGTAGTAGCATAGCTGTCAACGGAGGGACAAAAAGCTCTCAGATTTCATCAAAAAGATCTTCATTTGAGTTCGAAGATGAGCAAAAGTCTTACAGATTTGGAACAACATGAGGGTGAGTAATTAATGACAGAATGTTCATTTTTGTGTGAACTAACCATTTAACATATATACACAATTATGGTGGCTTGTGAATAGCAAAATTTAGACAACCTTTTTTTATTCAAATGTCTGAAAGAATCTACTCCGCTTCCGGCTCATGGGACCTTGTTTCGGAAAAAATATGTATGGTAGTCAATGGCGAGAGACAACTTATCTTTTTATTCCGTCTGAACTGTGCCCTGAATTACACATATGATGTTTGTCAATTTAAAAGATAATTATGAAAGTCGCAGTTTGTCATAAAACAGAAGAGTAACATTTAGTCTTATGTGAAAATCGCTCAGTGAACTACATCTCCCGGGAAGCGAAACAACGAGCGAGATCCGTTGCTCGTGTGTGTGCAGTCTGGTACAAAACACTCAGGCATGACGGCGTAACGTTACGATTATAACGTAAGACTATAGAAAAAATGACAGACGTTAGCTTCAGTAAAGTTAGCTTCATTCATTGAGAGAAAATGTGCGCCTTTTGGGTTTGTAGTCTTTGTAATTACGTATTTTCAAAGTCTTATACCTCAACAGTTTTACATCAAACTGCGACTTTCTTGACTTTAAAATGTATCTTTTAAATTGACAAACATCATATGTGTAATTCAGGGCACAATTCAAACGAATTATCAAAATATTATCAAAATATTTGTTGTCTCTCGCCATTGACTACCATACAATATTTTTCCGAAATAAGGTCCCATGGCGGTCGACCGGAAGGGGAGGGACTTAGGCTCTCTATAGCTGTTTTCATCTCAAAGTCCTCTTTAAAAAAATAACTCATAAACAAGAAATTCATAAGTGATTATTTAAAAACATCACATCCTTCAAGAAGTCTTCCACAGGCACTTAACCACCCCACACCCTTAAACCAGTGCACTTGCAAAAATAAAATAAAAACTTGTATTAAATGTAATTGTAAATGTAGTTGTCAAATAAGCCTGGCATTGTATAATACCAATATTGTTGGCTCCCTGACATATTGCTTTGTTCCTCTCTTGTAAGTCGTTTTGGATAGTATCTGCTAAGTGCATAAATGTAAATGAATAAAAAAGTAGGATGAGGACTTTGTTCTATCCATCGGTTTTTAATTGAATTGGGGCAGATCTCAAAGCAAGCTTACAGTCGATTCTAAGAAAAGGGTTTAAGCGGACTAAATGTTTGGAGAAGTTCGGCATGCATCACCAGAGAGGAGTCTGTCTTTTCACTGGAAGATCAAGTTATGACATTTAATAAAAAATGATTGTCCAAACTAATTTAAAAAACATGCATGGATGAATCTTTCTGAGTAAGGTAAATGACACGAAAATAGGGTAAATTTTCATTTGATAAAGTAATAGACATTTACACTGTTTACTGCAGTGTGAGACTCCTGAAACAAAACAAGTGACCGTACCCACGTGCTTTGGTTTGATTGTAAAGCAGTTTAATAATTGTGCATCTTTTTTGTCCAAGGATAATCTGAGATGTTTTACAGGTCGCCCACCACAGTGGCTGGCAGACGAGACAAAATTGCGTTGGTTAATGATGCATTCTTGAGTTAGCAAAACAATCCTTACCATCAAAGTAGTACACAACTAAACCTATAATAAATTAAAATAAAATAAAAATGACACTTCATGTCACAAAAGTTGGCAACCCCCTAAACTACAGTGTCTGTAAAATAAACATATTACTCATGTATTACACAGTAAAAATGAATTCATATTTTTAGGTAAAGGTTTTCTCACATGTTGATTTCTATTACAATTTATAAATGACTTTTGAGAGGTACTGTAAAATGTTTGGAAACATTACTTTTTTTTATGTTTTTTAAAGTCTTTCATGCTCCCCAAGGCTGCATTCATTTAATCAAAAATACGCTAAAAGCGGTAATATTGCAAAATTATTATTACAAATTTAGAAAGTCACTTAAAAAACACCTTTCTTTCTCATTCTAATGTTCAGTTTGAACTATTTAATATATATATATATATATATATATATATATATATATTATTTAGGGCTGTCAATAGATTACAATTTTTAATCGCACCCTTTTTTTCAAGGTAAATTAAAAATTTTGAGAAGTTGAGATGTCGAACAGGACCACATGGAAAAAAACACTTAACCAACCGCCTTAACCTGACTGCAAATACCTACTACAGTACACGGATCCAATCATAATTGCTAAACGGCAACATACGTGACAAATCAAAACATTATCCTGAATGCGTGGAAACAACGTGAACCTACTGAAATGTGTCTGTGCATAAACACAATGTGCAATAATCAAGAACAAAAGAAAAAGAGAAAATCACTCACTGCTCTGACTGAATAACTTTTGTGTCTTTAATAAGGATTAATCTATATTTAATTGATCATTTATGCAGTGAAGACTATGAAGCGTATGATAACGTCTATATTCAATTTCTGTATATATCCTCCTACCTGTTAGACCTGCCTGAAAATCTTAAAGCACTGTTTACAAGGTTACATGGGTAAAAAAAACTACGAAAACAATAACTTTTTGTGCATTTTGACAGGGCCAGTAAAAATCTGACTGGGCCAATAGAAAAAAATGAGCCCTGATATATTGAAGGGCACAGGTAAATGTGGCATTTATTACAATAGGTTTATGTGAAGATTGTTTTAAGTTCACTTAAATAAAAATTTGTTGTAATTTTTTATAGCCTAATAAATGCTAAAATTGATAGCTTTTAATTCTACTGTAATGCTGAATGGTTATAATGGCTAAAATTGAGAAAAATAAATACATTTCAGACATCAGTAACAGTATTGGTATCGGTACTGGCCCTCTTTCTTAAAAAGATGCCATAAAACAAATATTTAAAATATAGGCTACTGTCTTTGCTGTTTTTACATTAATTTGGAGATTAAAAGTGAAATGATTACAATATAAAAATATTTTAAAAGCTTATGTGCGATCAATTACAGAAAAATGTGCGATTAATGTTTTTAATCAATTGACAGCTCTATATATATATATATATGCGTTTTCTACTTTAATATAGTTTAAAGTTATTTTTTTTCCTGTGATGTTTGTAGGCACTATTGGAAAGAATGAAATTTGGCATTTGTAAGTTCAGTTGACTTGTGGAATAGCTCTTTATGATGTTCTGATTAAGATTTAGATTAAGATATTGTTCAGTCAAATAAGTGAACTGTTAGCATCAGCTAAAAGAGTTAATTCAACAAATGTACTGTTGCTTAGAAAGGGAGTGTAACATTCTGTCTTTCTCTCCCAAACAGAATGCAGTAATAGTAGCCTTGTCATCAAAATCATGGGATGTGGAGACAGCGACAGAACTGCTACTAAGCAACTGATCATCCAGTTGTTTTCATCAGGCCATGTTTCCCTCAAACCCCTCCTGCTTCATGACCCGTTCACTCCCACCCAACCATCCACACGTGCATCAGCCATCTTGGTTTGTGTTCAGAGTGAATGTTTGGGTAAGATCAGCAGTTAGACTGCAAGACAATGCGTCATCTTCTATCTCTAGCAAATGTCCACGTCCCTTGTCTTGTCTTTTCCCTCCCATCATTTTCACTTTGTTTTTGCCTTGCTACAATAATTTTCCCTCTTAAATTTAGGACGTCACTTCCCTTTTAAAGAAACCCAACAAAGACAAAGCCTGTATCCCTGTCATTTCACACTAAAAGAAACTCCCACTTGCATCTGTGAAACAATGTTAGCACATGTAAATTAGTATATTTAAGGTTGTGTACATTTAAAAGGCAAAATAGCAGGAATGTCTTTTTTCTTCTATCTGTACACTATAAAATTGTTTTGGGATATGCTTATTTGAATGGGATATTCAGTATCTAAAAACAAATTTTGAGATTAATTAGACCCCTTCTATTTGACGCTCTTACGATGAACAAATGTGTGTTTTATTTGCTCATTTGATTCTTTTAATGTTTCTTTTGGCTTTCCTTTGCACTAATCAGTCTGTATAGTAGAAATGGCCAGATGACATGGTGTTACGTTGCGAGTGCAGACATGGTTTCAAACGTACTGGGTGAAGTGTTAATTTTTTTTAAATCATAGGAAGATGCCCCTTCTCACTTTTCCCTCTTTTTGACAAAGGGGTCGATGTGGTATTGGTGGCCCAAAATCCTTTCTCTACTTCTTTTCAAGGCAGCTGTAGGGGTTCGACTTGATCGTGGACAGATATATTTTTTTGTTTTTGAGGAATGTATTGTATAAAACTTGCATTAAAGTATAAAAAGTTTGTACATGCAGAGATGAGAAAGTGAAGACACAAGAGTTTCTCCTCTTAATAATGATTGGCTTTTTCTTTGTGGAACAATCAAGATGATGAGGTGCATCAAAAACTGTTAAGGCACAAAACTAGTTGGTGTAGAGGTTTAAAAGAGTCTCAGTGTGAGGTGGGGTGTGTTTTTTTTGATCATATCACATTTGTATTAAGATTTCCATTCGCAGGCTGCAGATATTATTTCATATTTCACACGTTTTAAACTGATGTTGCAAGCATGAATCAAACGGCTATAGTTTTCTCTTCTACAGATGCTTCAAAGCAAACGGGCCAAGAACAAGTACTGCCACACAATGCTTTGTGAACCTGTTTTTTACCTAGTGTTCTGTTATTGCAGGGGTGAATTGTTAAAAGGTTTATTTTCTCCCTCTGTTATTTGACCTCCCTCTAATTGTTAGCATTCCCACATACCATCTGTTTTCATAATGCCCACACTTTCACAGCTAGTTGCTTTCATACACCTTTCTCATGTACATATAGCCAAGTTTTTTTGGGGATAAAGTACTGTTCATCTCTAGAATGCACCATCGATGGCTGGATTTATATTTTGTATGAAAAACAAAAATGAAACAAAAACAAAAAGACTGTCTTCCTGTAGTGATCACCTTGTTCAATATTGCACGAAGTGAATAAAAGGACAAAAACTTCTGTCAAAGGAGAAATGCAGGTCATAGGCTCTGGCTTTAGTCACTTTAAGCTCCTTTGCAAAACGAGACAGAAAAAAAACCTACTCGAGCCGTACAAGCATGGTTATTTATTGTGAAATTGTCATTCTTTTGAATTAAAAAAGTGAAAAATTAACTTATCTGTGAATCTGTTCTGTGCAAGTTATTATATTATGTCAGTAGATGTCAAATGCGTATTCTAAGAATGTAATTTGGTGAAAAACAGCTTTGTAACAGTTAAAAATGTGTGTGGGGGAAATTAAATGGAATATCTTATTTAAATGTGAAGCAATTTGAATATTGGAACAATATTTAGAATTAATCCAAACACACAAATCTCATGTAGCAAATGCAGGGTGTTCCCCTTGAATGAGGAATTCATGCTCATACACCCAGCAGAATAAATAATCATAAAGTCTTGCAGTCCTTGCACTGTAAATGTAGGAAATGAGCCTCAATGAATCCTTGCAATCAAAGAAATCTGATGACAATATTTGGATTTAATAGAGGGTTAAAAGAGGAGAGGGAGATAAAACAGTAAAAAAAAATCTTTCCATGTATTTAATAAGCAACCTTAGAGCAGATTAAAACAGATTTTTTTTTCTTTCAAATGTTTGTTTTTAAAAATGGCTCCAGACAGAGGAAGAGCGCAACAAGAACAATTTCAACAGAAAAGAAAAAAGAAAAGAAAGCTAATGAAGAGAAACAGATCTGTGTTTCTACATACAAGTTTGAACATCTGAATCTAAAGAATTCATTCCTCATTCTTCTGAGGTGTGGGATAAAGACAGTTCAGGTTTGTGAAGAGCATTTCATGTTTAAGTAGATGTGTCTCTTCGTTCGGTCATTCAAACATTTACTGCCTGACCGTCCTCGTCTTCACGAACCGACGCTTTACCTGAAACAAAAACAAAACCTAAATCAACACTTTGCATTATAGCAGAGTATGACATAGAAAGTAAGACAATTACTGATATCTAGGCCAGGTGAGATTCCATGTGGGCCGGCAGAAACCTTAGAAAGAATTGTCAATATTTACTTAGCCATATGTCATTGCAAACCAGTGTGCCGTTTTTATTTTTTTTACAATTTTCCGTGAAACATAAAAGGAGAAATTTAGAACAGATAGGGTCAGTAGGAATTTAAAAAAAGAAAGTAAAGAAATGAATTGCTTCATCAGTAAGGATGCATTACATTTATCTTAAAATGTCTCAAAAGATTTTCAATTTTTTTTTTTTTTTTATTTTATTCGAATACTGAAAAAAAATGATCACTGTTTCAACAAAAAAATTAAGCATCCCTTCTGTTTTCAACATTGATATTAATAAGAAATGTTGCTTGAGCACATTCTTCAAACTTTATCATAGTATTCCTATTCAATGAAAAACGACAACATTGGATACGGTTTGGAACAACATTAGGGTAAAGTAAATGACAATTTTCATTTTAGGGAACTATTCCTTCAAGCCAAAAGCTACAAGAAACATGAACTGCTTGAGTGTTCAAGGTTACAGCATGACATCAGTGCTAAATGAAGCTCTCCCTCAGACACTCACTGACAGCTCCCCCTGCTCTGCTGCATAGGTGGATTCTCTCAGTTTGGGGCCTGCTGCACCCCTGAGCTGTTCGAGAATGGCTTCTTCCTGCTGCTCCTGTAGCTGTGTGAGTGAGTGTACATACTCTGGGCTGGACTCAAACCCTCTCTCTGTCTCCCCTTCACTTCCATAAGTCTTCTGAGACAGGCGGATGTCTTGGTACGCATGCTGTTCTCGCTGTGCTACCCTCACTGATCTTAAACAAAAGAAACACCTGCCTCAACTCCACATAAAATAATTCAATTACAGCTGGTGACAAAGTGGTGAGACAGAATGTGGCATACAATTTTCAAATGATCTTAAGCAAAAAAAAAAGCGCATGTAAAAATGAAAGCGAAATGCACTCTAGCCATTCATGCGTTTAATGAAAAAGCGGTTTAACAAACGGGTGATTTTCTCATGTATAGGGCCACAAGAAAAAGTTCTTCCCCTGCTCAGTTCCCATGCAAAACATCAGCAAAATGTTTTTGAAAGTCTTGTGCACAAGGCTGCATTTATTTGATAAAAATAGAGTAAAAACGGAAAAATTAAAATAACAGCTGTTTTCGATTTTATTTTAAAATGTAAGTAATTCCTGTGATTGCAAAGCTGATTTTTAAGCAGCTATTATAAATGTTGAAAATGGTTGATTTTTTTTCGTGGAAACCTTAATACATTGATTAAAAGTTAAACAGTAAAGTTCTAAAAAATCCTATTTCAAATAAATGCTGTTCTGTTACTTTAGATCCATTTAATGCTGAATAAAAGTATTCATTAAAAAAAAAAAATTACCCCAAACTTTTGGATTGTAGTGTACAAAAAAGTATAAATGAAAATGATAGTATACTGTGAGTAACAGGCTGCTTGCTAATAACAGTACTAATAAGTTATTTTAATTATTAATTATACTTATGCTAATAAAACACAATTACATAGCTCTACTACTTATAAACAACATAGAAATGTATACTGCACATTTAAAGTTACAAGATACTTTTATTATTTTCATTGAATGATTGTTTTAGTAAGCAAATTCATTAGATGCCATCCTCCTGCTAGAAAAAGTCCCTGACATACAAAGGTTAATAAATGGGTTCTGTGCGATGATGATATCATGCATCTTAGCCTGGCTGGAACGCTGCGTTTACCAATTAGAAACTAAGGCCAAACTTCCCCATTTTATAGCACATCACTATTCTCTAGCTCTGAGTTAGTATATAATTGCTTGCAGTCATGGTACCAAAGACACCTCCCAAAAATGAAATATTACGGCTTTTGAGTTCTTTTCAGCAAACAGGAAAACAACATAAATAAAAATTAATCTTTGGAAATGGTGTGAAAGCATTCATAGATCATCAAATGCGGGCCTAGTGGTAAAGTGGAAATTCTAGATTAATTTCCAGTAAAACTACAAGTGATTTATATCATACTATGCATAATGTACAGAAAAGTCACTCAGTTACCTTTGCAGGTCAATCTGTCTCTGCGGCCCCGCTCTTTTGGGCTCTGCTTCTTTCTGCTGTTTTGGTGTCTTGACACTGATTGAATCAGCTGAGGCTGTGGTGGCGGGATCCTGAGCTGGTGCTGCTCTCTTCCGGCCCCGCCCAGACCCTCCCCCTGTCGTAGCTCCAGCCTCTTTATCTGGTGTGGCAACACCCGCAGGGTTTTTAGGGGGTCGGCCACGCCGTGGTTTATTGGCAGGGGGCACTGACACTGCAGAGGGGTTTGAAGACACGCTGTTCTCTGTGCCGTCACTTGCAGGTGCAGCACGTTTCTTCCCACTGGGCTGAGCAGCCTCTTCCTAAAAGAGAGCAAAAAAACGGAATAAGGGACAACAGAAGTGAAAAAGTCCAGCATTTTCGTTGTTTAAATGGGATATTTCTGACCTTCTTTACACCTCCTGCTTTTGTAATCACTGGATTCTCTTCATTCTCCCTTGCCCCCGTCTCTGAAGCCTCAGAAATCACATCCCTTTATGGTAGAGAAAGAGAAAGTTGTAAATTCTTGATAAGGATGACACACTTCCTGCAGTAAAGATTAATCAATGCTGGATAAATTCTACATCATGTAGAATTTATCCATTTTTACTTTTCATTCACTATGATGTAGAATTTATCCATTTTTACTTTTCATTCACTATCATAGTGAATGAAAAGTAAAAATAATAAATTCTGATAAGCACAAACCTGCTCTTATTTGTTGCAGGCGAGCTGGGTTGGGAGTTAGTGCTTGCGTTGCTCCCTGTGTCGGAGGTGGTGGTTTTAATGAATGGTCGCCGAGCGGTTACCGTTAAAGGTTTGTTCACTGCCCCCAACACACCTGTCTGCTTTGGTGGTTGCTGAAAAAATATTAATGTGTTAAGTAACAAATGAGCTACGTAATGCAGTCAAGGAATTCAATTGGTAGTTGCATCATTTCAATACAACTTTCCAAAAAGAACACTGTGTCACTGATCTATCCCTGTGTGCAAAATAACTCCCAACAAACTAGGAGTTCCTAAACTTTTTGTCTGCTGAACCTAAAATACATTTACTTGGAGATTATAAGTAATGTTCTAATGTTTGCATTTAGTGAAAAATATATGTATGCATGCACTCATTTTTTTATAAATACCGGTAATTAACACTACCGGTCGGTATGATTTTTTAATGTTTGTGAAAAGTCTCTTATGCTCACCAAGGCAGCATTTACTTTATATTGTGAAATATTACAATTTAAAATGAATTTCTATATTAATATATATTTTTACATTTAAATGTATTTGTTCAAAATACACTAAAAACAATAGTGTAATATGTTTACAGTTTAAATGAACTGTTTTCTATTTTAATATATTTTAAAATGTAATTTATTCCTGAGATGGCAAAGCTGAATTTTCAGCATCATTACTCCAGTCTTCAGTGTCACATGATCCTTCAGAAATCATTCTAATAAGCGGATTTGGTGCTCAAGAAACATTTCTTTTTATTATCAATGTTGAGAACAGATGTGCTGCTTTATAGAAACCGTACTTTTTTTTCTTCCTCAAAAAAGCATTTATTGGAAACAGAAAACTTTTGTAACAATTTAAGACTTTACTGTCACTGTTTAATTTAATGTGTCCTTGCTAAATATATTAATTTCTTTAAAAAAACAAAAAACAACAACAACAAACTTGCCAACCAAAAACATTTTAACGTAGTGTATATTTTTAAAACCTGAGCAATCATGCCTTTGCCATTAAAGGGATAGTTCACTTTGAAATAAATGTTTTAGCTTACCTCAAGGGCATCCAAGATGTAGGTGTCTTTGTTTCCGCAGTAGTTTCAATTTTGATATTTTTAGGTCAAACCGTTCTAGTCATATAATGCAGGTCTATGGTCACCACCTCAAAGAGCATGCACAGATAAGTCCAAATTAAACATGATTTAATTACTCGTAAATGTAAGTACACATTGATGGCCTAAGAGACGAAACGAGCGGTTTGTGTGAAAAAAAAAGGAACAGAATTTATATCGTTTTTACCTCTTGTAACCACAGCCACGTCCAAGTGATCTGAGGGCGCGGGCGCTTCGGTCTGTGCGTTACAAGAGGTAAAAACGATATAAATACTGTTTGTTTTCTCACACAAACCGCTCCTTTCGTGTCTAAAGGCGGGCGTACACGGTGCGAATTCTGACGGTCGGACGATCGTATGTCCACGCACACTTTATGAGTGAGTTTATCCGAAAATCGTACGGAGGCAGTGATATACGACACGATTTTACGACCTGCTGAATTCCGAAGAAATCGCACGAAGTTCCGCGCCAAAAACTCTCTCATAACTGCATATAAAATATTGATACAAGGCGTGATTATTTTGCTACATATACTCGTTTTCAGCACCGGGAAACGGACGTCCGTTCACCCTTGTGTGTGTGTGTGTGTGTGTGTGTGAATGAGTTAAAAAACTTAGTTACGGTAGGCTACACATTCAAAAATAAAATTTCAAGCTCTCTGAATGATTAATTAGCCGTTTAAACCACCTCATCATGTGAGTGTTTGCAATTCATTTTGCTGCGAGAAGCTAGCGCAGTGAACGGGGCTTGAGTGAGCTTGAGCGCGTTGTGAGTGAGATCGCGGGTGCCAGATCCCGTGTTGCCAGATCCACATAATGGAAAGGTGACAGTAGTAGGCTATTCTGGACTTGTTTTTTTGGATTAATGTCACAGTTTAGGAAGTTATTAAAGTGGTTCGTGATATATTAATCTTATTTCCAAAACACAAGCTTTGAACTTATTTTGGATTTTTATAATTTCTTTGTTTTTGTTTGTTTTTGCTTGTTTTTCGTAGCAATATCTGGCAACATTGTTCTGTCGGCATTAATAAAAAAAAGATTAGGCTGAAGATACAAACGCAATGATCATCGTGACGTGTAAGAATCTGTAAGAAATGTATAACACTATCAAAAACAATAGCATAATACAGATCTGTATGTTACAGAATGAAATATGCCAAATACTGGCCAGCAGGAACACGGCAGATGCTGTTTAGTTAACCTTTCACAAAGTCAACATAAAAACATTAATTGAAGCAGTGTTTATAGTAGTCCACACAATTTTCGTCTTTCTTCTGTGGATTTTCTCAGCTCCTGATTGGTAAAATTCAGATAGATCGACAAATGGGCTCATTCAACCGCACACACCTCACGAATGCAAGCCGACAGCTCCCGAACTTTTTCGACATGCCTTAAAATTATTGGAAAGTCGAGAGGAGCTTGGCTCGGCTCGTATCTTCCTTGCACACGAAACGAGCCGCGACATGCGAGCATAACCGATTTACACACGATTTCTCCCGAGTGAAAAAAAATCATCTGCGAGCTCGTAAAACAGCTAAAAATCGCACCGTTTACGCCCGCCTTTAGGCCATCAATGTGTACTTACATTTACGAGTCATTAAATCATGTTTAATTTGGACTTCTCTGTGCATGCTCTTTGAGGTGGTGACCATAGACCTGCATTATATGACTGACAGACAAGAACAGTTTGACCTAAAAATTTCAAAATTGAAACTACTGCGGAAACAAAGACACCTACATCTTGGATGCCCTTGAGGTAAGCTAAAACATATCAAAAATGTATTTCAAAGTGAACTATCCCTTTAATGAATGTTTACACAAATGTGTCATCCGAGAGGTGACAAAACCTACCTGGATTTTCCCTGTCTGCAGAACTATTTTTGCCTCTGGTGAGAGATATTCCTTATCATTGACAAAATCCTGTACATAGGAATAGATGGAATGAGTTTGGTAGTCAGGTCACATGTAAAGCGTAAGTATGGATAGTCAGAGTGGTTGTTACCTTATCAGGTGGGGTAAAGAACTTGCTAGGCAGCACAGGATCTTTTGGGGAGTCCAGATGACATGAAGTGCTCTTGTTTGCGATCACAAATAATGCCACATCACACACAATGTAAAGTTTCTGTAAATGCATGAAAATAGAGTAAAACACACTGGGATTCAGAAACACAAACAGTATACATGATTTGTTAATGATACGGACCTCGTTTGCCTTTGGGTCGTCTGGGGCCTGTGCATCTTTTGTTTGTTTGATGTTCTCTACCATCTTCCTCAGGAATGAGTGGCTGTTATTCTCATTCTTTGTCATCAACACCTCCAGCATGAACCACAAGCACCTGGTAAAATACATTTTCATCTGAATTAGTTTAAAAAGTTTTAAAACAAACATCCTGTGAGAACCTTAGTGTCTGCATCTACTCACTACTACTATCTACTACTCAGAAATAAAAAGAGAAGGTTTAGTATTACAATTTAAGAGTATTGGTCAGATCATGTAGCTATGTGTGTAGAAGGGGGAAACTGCAAAAGTGTGTGAATGTGTATAACACTCATACTCTTTGACGTCTCTGATCTGCTCCAAATCCTGTGGCTTGGTAAGGTCTGGATCATGAGCTAGAAGATGGATCATGTATGGCACCACGTATTCTGGCAGGAGAGACAGCAGCTTTTCTGAAAAACAAAAATAAGAGAACAGGCAGGTTATTTACGTCTTTGTCATTCATGCAATCCTGTAGAAAATAGTTATTGCCTCAGTGTTATACCAAAAAACAGAAATGCTATCTACCATGGGCCATGGGATTCTGTTTGATGTACTCTCTGCGGACACTGATGTTCTTGAGTAGGCACTGTCGGGCATGAGCACGTCGCTCTTTCACTGGGTCTTTAGCGCACAAAGCAAACACAGCCATGTACTCCAGTGGCAACAACAACTTCACCAGAGCAACATGTAACTTTTGAGCAAAGATCTGCCGCACCTGATAGCACTCATCCTATGAAGAGAGAGGAAAGGGAAGGAAATTCTGAAAAAATGCCAAGTTGTGGTAGTATGGCTAATATATGCTTTGTAGCATGCCCTAACATGTCCACTTATGTTAGTCAATGTTTCATGTACCAACAATTGTAATTTAGGCTCTCACAGCTATTTTGTACAACTGTTTTTGCTGCTGTACTTTTAAGACCTTTATATATAAAATGACTTTACTATTATGCATTTCCAAGACTCTTTCATCTAAAGTGTCAATGTATTCAAGGTAACAAATTCAATTATTGGACTGCACATAATAATGTTAAATTCACTTGAAGCAACTGATTTATAGATTATTTATTTAGACAGTATAGAATTAAGCCATTAAAACAAGATCATTGTAATTTTAATATAATTTAATAACTTTATACATAATAATTTTATTATGTGTTTCATACGTGTCCAAGTAGTCTTATGCTGAACTCACATTAATGACGAGTCCACAGAGCTGGAACTGTTCTGGAGTGATGATGTCATGGTAACAAGGCTCTTGTGCCAGTTTCATGATGGCGCTCCCCGCTGCAAGCCTCAGTCGAGACATGTCAGACTTGCTGTGTCCACAAACACACAGGTTAGAGGCCTATTACAAGATTAGGGCAGCTTTCATAATTACAGAAAATTACTCGGGGGAGTCTTGACACCCAGCTAGTACCTGATTTTCTTCTGCTCGGTGAGGTCTCCCTCACTGACCAGCATGGCTGAGAGGAGTCTGAGAGTAGAGTTTGCAGATTTAGACTGATTATTCCTCATTCCCAGCAACCAGCGGACCAACAGCTTAATGGCTTGCACCTGGAAACACAGACAGACATGCACATGTATACACACACACAAATGAACAAGATATGTTGTTTTCAACCTGATTACTCAATGACATTTACCTTAGCCAGCACTTCAGGGGAAACCTCATCATCAGCTGTCCAGAGCCGCCCATTCTTGTTTCCCACAGACTGACAGGGAAAGAGGGTTAGTTTACCATGCAAGGCAATAAAATGATTCCTACATGCCCAAAGCAGAATAATACATCAATATGCTCACTCTGTCATTCATCAGAAGGTCCTTCACGATAAAATTGGCTACGATTGACTTCATGGGTGACGCAAATTGATCCGGGGCCAGCATGGAGATGTGTCCAAGAGACACGAGTGGAGTGATCAGCTGTTCAGGCACATCTGCATTCAGACTGCGAGACAATGGCTGAAGAGACCGAGACAAAAAGGCATATCTGAAAAACTTGCATGCAGTAAAAACTCAATTTCTTTCATTATCGTAACATTCACAGGATTTGACGTCAAAAAAAGTTATGTGTTATACATTTGGTGGCATTTTAAGCAAAGACTGCATTTTTGAAAATGCTTTTATGCACATAGATTTACCTCAAATATTTGTGCTAACTGGACCTCTTTGTTGTGAAAGATGGCATGGATGCAGTTGACCGCCTGTTTGGCCTGGTGGGGGGTGCCTCGTTTTGCCTTCTGATGTAGTATGGGAATTAGAGTCCTGTACACAGATTTAGAGAACATTTAACTACACATTTTTTCTTTTGAATTTGGTATTAATAAAGTTGATGAGACTGAAGAGTTTGTATCAGTAAGTATATAGCGAGTTTAAGATGTTGTTACTGGCTCCAAACAGTTGCGTGTATGCATTTGGGAGGTGTTCATACGAGCGGATTTGTGGGAGTTCTGTCTCAATCTTTTGTCCTGTGTTTCTGAAGATCTGTATTGCTGCTTCCGCCACTTTATCGTCCTCCATCTTCAGACACTGCAGCAAAGACTCATAAGTCTCAGCTGAGTGGAATGCAGTGGGGTGAGTAAATGACAAAACCTGAGGTAGGGAAAACAGAACAGCAAACTTAGAACTTTTTTTGGGTCCGGACAAAAAACAAGAAAGAAAATACATTTAGTCCTGCTTTGCTTAGCGTAACAGTGAACCTAAAGAAAAAAAGATTTTTTGATGTATATTTTGCGACGGAACTTGTCGAACATCCAAAACAATGCTGTGTGCTGGGCCAAATGCACTCGCTGTAAGTGCGTACAAATGATGGTATATGATGGAGATGACAACACGTGAAGAGCTTATAAAAGGTGTAATGGTGTCAAAACAGCGGCAGGAATTCCTCCGTCACACACACAAATGAAGATCTGCTGCGCGGAGATGTGGTTCTGATGCCTGTAGAAAAAACAGCTATGCTTGAGCATTCTGTCCTTTTAGGGTTGCATCTTGTGACATCATGTCCTGTTTTTGGTTCGTTTACATGTCTTTGGTCCATTTTTTGTTTCAGTTCGTTTAGAAGCAGACCAAGACCCATACTTGGTGCGCAGTCTCGGTCTGCGCACCAAGGCTCGGATGGCAGCTTTTACACTTATTCAAATGAACCGCACTAACAGAGCAATCGCACCAGGGTTCCTTTTAATCTAACCAAACATGCCAAGTGTGAACACACCCTAAAATATTCAAGAAAATTACTGAATGAGTCAAAGACACTTGGTATTAAATGGAACAATAGCCTACGCTTTTGTAGCAATTTACTTTTATTTATATCAATTTTAAATGTGATTGTATGTCTACAGAGTACTTAAAACTTATTTCAAAAGAGCAAGAAATCCTGTTTTCCCTTATATTGAAAACTTTAAACTAGTACATTGTCATTACGAACAGTACCTTGAGCAGCTCAAGTCCAGCGCGGATGGCAGTATCAGGAGTAACTCCCTCATCTTCATCATCAGCAGTGCCCTCAATTGACTTATTTAACAGCTTAACCAGGGCACTGTATACACACATACAAACAAATTATTATTGATCCAAAAAGTCTACACAATACCTGCAGTTACACTTCATCCCCACAAGATGTCTCACTGTTAAAAAGCTATTCAGACGGTTACACAACCGTTAAGGGGGGGGGAAACAAGCACATGGCCCATATTGCGCTTATCTCTCTCCCACTCAGTCAGTTTCTCTTTCTCTCTTATTCATGTTCTCCCTTTACATCTGCAGGTGCACTGACAGTCCTTATCGGATACTGTTGTTTAAAAAGAGAATACATTCTCTGTGACTGTGCTTCACCCTGTCTGCAGTTATTTTGCAAGTGCTCAAATTAGAGTTTATTTAGGCATTGTAGTCCATGTACAGTATTTTTACAATAGTTGTTATAGTAAATATAATAAAATAGAAAAAAATATAGTAAAATATTATTCAAGTTATATTTCTTTATGTCCAAAACAATTTATGCTCAAGATCATTGACCCATCCCTTGTAAATAAATAAATAAGAAATAATTAGTTATAAATGTTCAATGCATGAACGTACATTTTTTTTTTTGTGTTCATACTAAAAACTAAACGGCTACAGAACAAAACAGATTCAGCCAGATATCTGGGGTGCCAGTGTCAACAAAGCCTGTTAATCTGAAAACCCGGATGATGGTCATTAACAACTTCTCCCCTCAAAAAAAAAAAACGCATTTCTCATCTGCCATTTGACCTCATTCCCTACCTGATGGCCTCAGAGTCAATGTGAACTGGTGCGATTCTCTCCAGCAGGAATTTCACCATCTCCAGGAATGGGTTTGTGGGTTGCTTGGGGAATGTCAGCTTCCGTGTGATTTCCCTCTGAAAGGAAACTCCACTCTTAGATAACTTGTATCTTTATAATATTAAATACATAGCTTGTTAAAGTGTCGGTTGAAACATGTCTTTATCATATACATTTTATACAGCAAGCTTATAATTAGTTATAATGTGAGCTTGAAAAGTGCAGTGGTAAATGTGATGGTATTGCCTTAAACTCACCACACACTGTTCAGCCTGTTTACATGAGCAGGTGGGGCTGATGAGCTGCTCAAGCTGAAGACGTAGTTTCTCATCTTCACCCAGAGCCTGATTAAACTTCTTCATAAAGTCCTGAGCTTTGCCCGGGTCTGGGAGATTCTCTGAGAATATGAGTGTGTGTGTGTGTGTGTGTGTGTGTGTGTGTGTGTGTGTGTGTGTGTGTGTGTGTGTGTGTGTGTGTGTGTGTGTGTGTGTGTGTGTGTGTGTGTGTGTGTGTGTGTGTGTGTGTGTGTGTGTGTGTGTGTGTGTGTGTGTGTGAGAGAGAGAGAGAGAGAGAGAGAGAGAGAGAGAGAGAGAGAGAGAGAGAGAGAGAGAGAGAGAGAGAGAGAGAGAGAGAGAGAGAGAGAGAGAGAGAGAGAGAGAGAGAGAGAGAGAGAGACAAAAGCACACATTGTAAAACCTGTTGGTTTCAATAACTATTAATTTATAAATATATATATAGTGTGTACTTACTAGCGATGTTCATAAGTTTCCCAAACATGGCTGTGGTATTTGATTCAGACTGCAGGAAGAGAAAATCAACAGTCATTCCTCCACAGCAGCAAAATTCATATGTGCATTGCACACAGTCACAAAATAAGAACAAATTGCTGCCTTGATCACCACCACAATTTTCTTTCTTTCACTAGTTTTTAGCTGAACATTTGTTTGATTAGTGTATTTTTAATATTAGTACAAGTTGCTATAAACCAATGTTGTACCATTACATATTTTTGTCTGTCACTGTATCTGTCATTTCATTTGTATGCTTCAGCATGTAAAAGTGATGTAAAAATAATAATGCCCTTTGATGTCTTCTAGAATATTTTTCATATAAATGAATATCCAGTATAATAGGACATGCTGTGGACGTGGCTGACATCTACATGCCAAAACAGCTTGATTTAGAATTTGATACAATACCTTGAAATATATAAATATTCAAAACAATTTTTGATACCACTGTGAAAAACTGCCACAATATTAACAGCATAAAATTAAGATTAAGGTAATTTACTTTTGAACATAGTCGCAGTTCTTTCAACTAAAATCTCTCAGGCCAGATACCTCTCAGTGAGATTTTATAATAATTATATATTGTGTATATATTAGTGCTGTCAAACTAACGCTAACGCGATTAATTGCATTAGTCATATTTAACTCGCGATTAATCGCACATTTTTATCTATTCTAAATGTCTCTTGATTTCTTTTTGTCCCATTATTTTTTCTCATTTTAATGCTCTTATCAAAACGGCTTGCTTTGTGCAAATGTTTTTTATTGAAAACAACATTGGCATATACTGTGTTCAATTTCACACTAACCTTCTCACTTGGAGCAAATAATCTCTCACACAATGTAACACTGACTACGTTTACATGCAGCCAATAACCCGTTCAAAACCGGGATATTAGCAATAACCCGGTCGCGAACGGCCATGTAAACACCGGCAAAAACCCGAATATGCTCATATCCCGGATTTTAAAAACCGGGATATGATACCTGGGGTACCCCTTTTCTAACCCGAATTTTTGGTCATGTAAACGCGCATCGGCATATCCCCATAGTGATGTGTGTTCTGCGCATGTTTTATTCGCAAGGAATCTTGGTCTTTTGAGTAGAGAAACTTCTCGGCGCATACAAAACCCCGCGTGCAGTATACCGGAAGTAAACATGGCGAGACGCAGCACAGCATACTTTTGGAGCGAGGTCAGTAACGTTACCAGCACCAAAGCGCAAACAAAGGCGATCGCTATCTGCCCCGAACTATTCATTATCCGCGTGCTGCTGCTGTTGTTGTCTTTGGATACAGGAAGAAGAATCGGAAATGACGCATAATGCGTCTTAAGGTTGTCCGTACGTCCAGACGCTAACCGCGCGTCGCGTTTACATCGGGATATTGCAATTCCATGTATACAGGAGTAACTCTCTCTGCTCACGCATGTAAACGGGTTATCCCTAATGTTTCAGAAACCCGAATAGTGACCTTAACCCGACCATAACCCGAAATTTGGCTGCATGTAAACGTAGTCACTGTCCATCAATAAAATGGTGAAAGAAATACTGACGAGGTCCTGATATTGACGAGGGGGCGGAGAATTCGCATCAGCTGTGTGTGTGTGTGTGTGTGTGCTTGGCCATCATCAAGTGGTATTTCAGACTGGACGTGCTGCGATGATGATAGCTCCGTTCACAACGACAAAACACACAGATCACTTTGGTCTTGTCAATGGAGCCATTTGGCAACTTTTTAAAAGTAAACTTTCCATTCAGAATCTTATTGGCATCCATTTCGGCGTCTCGCGCTCGTTATCCACTCAAAACGTAATGTTAACCTACAATTTGGCAGGCTCGCAAGCCCAAACAAGTGTGTGCGGCGTCGTGCCTGTTGTTTTGTTTCCGGTCTAGCTAGATCCGCTTGCGCTTTGGTCGACGAAGCAACAAAACGTCCTCGCGCGGCGCAAGCCATTGAAATGAATGGATTTCATAGCGCAGCGCATGCCACAAAAGCATGTGAAAAAAACTACAAAGTTTGCTAGGCTAAAAAGAACATTAATCGCATGATAAAAAAAATTAACACCGTTAAAATGGGTTTGCGTTAACGCCGTTAATAACACGTTTAACTGACAGCCCTAGTGTCTATAATATATATATATATATATATATATATATATCGTAATTCAACAAAACTGTAAAATGAATATTACTGTATAAGAATAAGTATACTCTTGTACTTTAACAGTAGTAAAATTATAATATTTATCACCCAATTTCTTCACTTGCAAGAGTTAAACCCTCAAGCTTTTATTTTAGCAGAAAACTGCAGGGAGACCGATAAGTGCTTGTGACAACAGGTTTACAAATTGTTTTTATTACAAATCTGTTTGAAAGTGTGAAATGCTGTAAAAATCTCTAGAAACTTTTGGGAAAATACACAAATGTGGGGGAAAAAACTAGCACAATTGCATTCCCTAATGCCTGTTAAACTTGCAGCACTTGCCGGGATTGAGTTAGTGTTCACAGTGAATGGAGCAGTGTAAACACAGATTATAGCCTATACATTTACTTCAGAAACTAACTCTACAAACATGGAAAACAGTGATAGATGGGCCTCTTAACCTTCACGCTGAGAAGATCCCACGCAACTTTAAGGGGACCACGAGAAACATGATTATGTGTTTCTGCTCAGCTAGCAACACTGGACATCAAGCACACGGCATATACGCTACTAACTTTTCATTACTGTCTACTTTCTATGTATAATAGTTCTATCTAATAACATATTAGACAGGACTGTTAGACAGATCATAAACTAATGAACACAGAGAATGCGAGCACTGTCTGTTTACTCAGGCTCTGGCGTTCTCAGCGCCGTCAAAATAAAAGTCACAACAACAAGCGCGGCTTAGAGTTCCTACTGGTGGTGCGAATGCAACCAGAAAACGTTCCTAGGGGAACCATTTGTTCTCGGGGAACCACCCTGGTGGCTAGTTCCTAGAACTAAGTTCTTAGAACTATCCGGTGCAAAAGCCCCTTATGTCTTATTATTTGTAATTGTGTTTTCTAATAATAGTTCCAATTATAAGCTTTATGTAGTTGCTATCTATGATGGGTATGATGTAAACCAGGGGTGCCCAACCCTGCTCTTGCCGATCAACTGTCCTGGAGTGCGTTTCCCGAAAGCATCGTTATCCAACTATGATCGCAATTTCCATTGAACTCTATTGGTAACGACGGAACTTGCGACCATAGTTGGCTAACGATGCTTTCGGGAAACGCACCCCTGCAAAGTTCATCTCCAATTCTAATCAAACACACCTGCCTTTAATTTTCAAGTGATCCTGAAGACCTTAATTGGCTGCTTAAGGTGTGTTTGATTAGGGTTGGAGATAAACTGTGCAGGACAGTCGATCGGCAGGAGCAGGGTTGGGCACCCCTGATGTAAACGAAGGGCAAAGCTCTTAATGTGGCGCTTTAGCGAGAGAAAAACAACGGGCAGGGAACGGAAAGAGGTTGAATGAAGCGCGTTTGGTTCTAGATAAAAATATTAGAGGACATAGCGCTGTAAGATCATTACCATAAACGACCCTGAGCGCTTGTGGAGTCAACCAATCTGTTGTTTCGATGCGCTTAAAACTTTAACTAGAAACAGTAAAATGGTGCTACAGTTGACAGTTGATCAGTTGACAGTTACAGTTGATCCCTTCCCTTTATCTCTGTACAGATAAAACGGTCAAAATTATTATTTTTTAAGGCCAGACAGATAGTTTGCTGAGGTCAATTTGTAGAGAAAGACGCCTGCGCACATATATATATATATTCAAATGCGCATACATAGACTAAACACGTAATACGCATGTGCACGCCGTTGGCGTTTTCACATATTCGCGTTTTTGAAGTTTGCGCGGAGATAACTTTTTTTTTTTCAAAATTATTCAACGCCTGCACCTTGGAACCTATTTCTGGTGTGTTTTAACACTGGTGTGTTTGTGTGCATGTTCTAATAATAGATTCACATATGTAGGTGACAGTATCAGGGACAGTTCACACAAAACGCGAGTCATTGGAACAGAGGAAAAAAAAAAAATACGATCCTGAGACGTTTTTTAAAAGTTAAACTTTTAACTTGAGTACCGTGTTTTTAAAAGCGCAAAAGACGAAAGACGCAAGCACAATGGTCAAATATTTCCTTCTAGCTCGTGCTTACATAGAAAAACAATGGGGGGAAAAATGCAGTGGAATGGAATAACACATTCTGTGTGAACAGCCGCATAGTGTTTTTGTGCGACTTACTGTAGGCAGTTTGTGTAAGTCCAGCAGTTCTCGAACCAGCCCTCTGAGCATATTCTGACACTTCCACATTTCGTTCAGTGCTCTGAAAAACAAAAAGACACTCTTCTTGATATAATTGAACACATCAGCAGAATGATTGCTGTTAAAGCTGCAGTCGGCAAGTCTGGCAGATTGAGTGGACTAAAGGCCTCATTATGCTTCTGCGTCAACTCCACGGCGTAGCTACGCCGTCACTCCTACGGCGTCGTGGCCGTTTTATGGTTCTGCGTCAGGTTGCGTTGCATCGCGGTGTATTTCACCGCCAGAACGCCAGAAAATAATTTATTGAAGCATCCAGATACTTCACCACGTGACAGCAGCTAGGCTCCTGATTGGTTAACGCGGCGCGAATTGACGCTAAAGTTCAGATTTTTCAACTCAGGCGGCAGACGCGAATTCGCGTCAAACGCGTGAATGCACAAAAGCACTCAATAAAATCATGCGCGCGGAACGCGTCAGACGCTCGAACTTGCCGCGCGAATGAGGCGTATTCGCATCTACCACGGCGCGCTCTACATCTCATTCGCGCCGTAGGAATTTTTTACGCGCTTAACGCGTCTTTGCATTGCCTTAACAATGAAATCACTCGCGCCAGACGCTCTATTCTCGTCTGGTGTGAACGCACCATGATGTTTTCTCTGCAGACCTCTACGCCTGCGATGTAACGCCACATTTTGTTTGAAGGTGTGCCTCCTCTAAAAGTGTCCGCCGTCCGGGTGAAACAGTGTGCTATTTTTATTTACCCGCCACGGTGGCCGGTAGGTGAAGCGAGTTTACCCGTGCCACAACACAAAATCACCCGCATTTGGCTGGTGGCGGGTGCTAAATTCCATCCCTGGTGTTTAATTTTGGAGGGAAGGGGACTGTTCCCATAAGGTATAAAACATTTTCAGTATTTACTGTATATATTTTTCTCCAGCGCCTATGGTCATAATTATTAACATCTTAATTGTATGATACATTCACATAAACCTGCACAACGCCATTAAATATATATATATATATATATATATATATATATATATACACACACTCATACATACACACACTCATACATACACACACACATTCACACGCGCGCACACACACACACACACACACAGGTCTACATATTCTATATTCCATGTTATGGGAGCAGCCAATTTCCCTCCAAAATTAAACACAAAAACGTATTAATGCAGTGTTTCTGCTAGGCTACTCCCCAGAAGAAAAAAAAACTATTATATGCAAGTAATTTTAGTGGCAACGTAAGCAAATGTACATTATGCGTCAATACTTACCGATAATTGCTCCAATAATAGCTGCTGCTCTCTGTCGCGCTTAAAATCATTGTCAACGCGATTTGTTTGGAACTATTGAGAGCTACACGAATAACGTGACCGCGCGGAGGCGAGATCACTGTCACAACCATCTATGTTTGCAACTCTCATATTTAACGGCTCTGGTTCGCGCTTAGTAGATAACGCCAAGGCAAGTTCAAAACAAAGCGTGCGCGCTGTACTGTGATTGGAGGCTCGTTTGGCCAGTTACGTTTTTATCCACTCATAAATAAAAAGGAACGACTGATTTTGAAAATGTAGTAGAGTAAAAAGTAAGATATTTGACTTTGAAATGTAGTGGAGTTAAAGTAAAAGTCTCTCAAAATGTAAATACTTGAGTAAAGTACAGATACGCAAAAAAGCTACTTAAGTACAGTAACGAATTACATTTACTTTGTTACTGTCCACCACTGGTGGCGTGTGCCTGATCTGTGATTGACAGTCAGATCTCACACCCCCATGCGCTGATTGGACCCGATGATCCTGGAGCGGTGGATTTTTGCAAAACAAATAACACGCTCCAGGTGGAGTTAGAAGCTCGGGTTTTTTTCTAAAACCACTTTATGTTGTTCTGTCGGATTATAGTGTCGATTTCACTGAATATGATAAAAAAAAAATGTTGCCGACGGCAGCTTTAATAGAAGTACTGTGATACTGGCCAAAACTGTCAGATGAGAACCAGAGACTCTCTCTAGGCAATCTGATGAAGCTTTTGAAAAACAGGAATCAGTCGATTAAGACTCACTTGACTGCGTTAGTGTCCAGACAGGCATAAAGGTAGTACAGACACTTCATCTTCTCTTCAGTCTCCAGACTGTGAGGAACCATGTACTGTGCAAAGATCTTCTCCACCAGCAACCTAATACACAAACACACTTTAAGAATCTGAAGTTTCCATATTAGACATGCTGCACTGTTTTAATGAAAATACATTTTTCAATTAATCACATGAAATCACTTGTGTGTACATGCGTGTATGGCTCCTACTTGTCATCTATGCTGTTCTGGTAGTAGATGTGTAAGAGTTTGTCTTTGATCCAGCTGATTTTCAAAGCGGTCTCCTTCCCGGCCTCATGGTGCAGACAGTACTTCTTATACAGTTGAGCCAAACCCATCATTCCTTCTTTACGGACACGCCACTGAAACAAAACATACAAATTTACTTTTAAAAACCAGAGGCTTTAAAATTTAGGTATATGTGGGGTTCTAAAAAAAAAATTCTCAGTTCTCTTTGCATTTACATTCTAGCAGGATTTGAATTGGGGCTCCACGAAATATCAAAACAAAACTGATACTGCATTGTGGCAAATATTATCTATATCAAATATATATTATCTATCTATAATACAAATTATTAGATAATAATTACAAATTGTATTAATTACTATACAATTATTAATTAAAATATTTTTTTATTTTACAGTGCAATAGTTTATTTGGCTTCATATTATGTAATAATAATCACAATAAAATATTAATTATTTTATAGTCATAAATGGGTCACATATAGTGGGAATGTAGCCTATGAAAGAGTTTTTTTCTTGTACAGAGTATAAGCAAGTGTGAACACCCAAAGAAATTAAGTTTTTCAGAATTGTTTAGTCCTAAAAGGATGGTTGACAAAAAATTCTTCAGAGTAAAAAGTAATTTTTCAGCTTTTTAAAATTAATGTTCTATGCAGATTCACTCCCTAATATAAATCACCCCAATACTCATTCTAGAATGATTCACTCTTTCCAAATATAGCTATTTAAGTGTTCTATTAAAAAATCCTGTATTTTTTGTCATATTGCAATGTATATTGCGGAAAAACTAAATATCGCAATGTTAGTTTTTCCAGTATCATGCAGCCCTAACTTGAATTGAGCACAGATCTAATTTTTCAGTACTTCAGAGTAACTCTGCATCTTTCTCACCCTCTTGTCCAACATCCTCTCTCTGACGAACCCCAACAGTTGATCATTCACCAGGTTCAGGTCTTTCTTCCCTGCATTGATGATGGTCACAATGACATCATGTCTGATTGCCTCCTCCGGGTCATGTGATCTCACCTTCAGAAAATCTGATGTGACAAATAGCACATCACAAGTTACACAAGATGCTTACGAGTCAAGCGATGCTTAAAATGGAAAAATGATGGGAAAACAGCAAAAATCACATTTAACCTGAACACACCTGTAAGATCCTTGGCAAGATCTGGGTGGTTCATCAGGCAGTGGCTGGCAAACTTCACACATTCCAGTCTCACAGGAACATGAATGTCATTGAACCTTTGAGAAAAAAAGAAAAAAAAAGGAAATCTGACTTCAATAAACACTCAAATTATAAATATTCCAAATCAGTCTTTCAGTCCAATTTTATTAATGGTAGGATAGCCTCACCTGCCAAGAAAACACTGCCAGAGTGGGCGATTCTGAGTGGCCAGTTCAGAGTCTTTTGCTCCAAAGAGTTTAGCCAACAGTTTCACCACAGCCAACCTCTCCTCTCCATCATTACTCTATACAAACAACAACAAACAGATTTATTCTTGATCGAAATATGTTTGTATGCAAGCAAGTGCACAAGTACAGTGCATTTAGTCACCTTCAATTTGAACTCAAGTTGTGGCATCACAGAGACAAGGAGCAGAGGGTCAATTGCAAAAAGCTCCTGAATGAGGTCAAATACATGCTCAGACAGATCACTCACGGAGGACTTCCCCATCACCAACACCTGATTAAAAAACTACAGAGAAAGAGATTGTTAAGTTAATACAACATCTGAAATAGTATTTTGTCTTTTTACAATGGGAATGGAACATTATAACGATGAACTGTACTAAATTCTGGAAGGACAAAATAAAAACGGATGATTTTGTGACTCACTGAGGCGATGCAGGTTTCGATGGTCTGAACCGTTCTCTTCAGAAGAGTCTTGGCCAGGTCATATGCCTGCTTATTCAAGTTCTAACGCACAGAAAGAGGTCGAATCACACACTATCTGGAAATGAACTTGGAAATAAGATGTAAGAAGTCATTTGCCTACTTTGTGAGCAGGGATGAGGTTGATGAGAATCGTGTCTAGTAGCTCCTGCGTCACTCCATCTCCCTCCATGATGATGGAACTCATCAGGTCCAGCATGTGCATCTGCACCTTCTGATTATGGCTGTTACTGAAAGAGAGAAGTCCTGATTAAAAAGAGCCCAGTTGAGTAACAGAAGATATGATTAAACTCACTTAAAATTAAACTTACTTGATGACAGAAAATAGGGTTTTGAAGAGCTGGATGAAGATCTCATTACAGTCCTCCAATTCAAAACAGATGTTGTAGGACTTCACCCATGCCAGGTTCTGTGCAGGTCAAAGTTAAAATTTTCAGCTATGACAATCAGACTACATGCTAAATATTAAATGAAAAACAAACTTGTAATTATTGCTGCTATGTTGCTGATTAAAAAAAACTGAGCATGAAAATTTAATTTTAAATTAAACATTTAGATATGTCAAAATGCAGAATTGAAAAGATAAATAAATGGTTGATTGAAAGATTGATTGAATGAACAATCTCACCTCTAGCAAGTAAAAATATCTGTTGAACTGAGGGCTCTTAGTGTCCTCTAATCCCTTTAACTGCCTTGTAATGAAGAGAAAAATTTCCTAGATGAGGGGAAAAAAGTGAAAATTAATTACATTCGTGTGCCTGAGCTATAAAGCTAATCTCAGATAGGTGATGGGATTATGTACAGGATAAAAAAAAGTCAGTTTAACACGAGGTTCGCACCGGATAGTTCTAAGAACTTAGTTCTAGGAACTAACCACCAGGGTGGATCCCTGAGAACTAATGGTTTCTTTTTTCTTTTAATGGTTTCTAAACACTTTCTGTTTGCATTCGCCCCGCCAATAGGAACTCTGAAGTGACGTAAACCCCGATTGTTGTTGTGACTTATTTTGACGGCGCGGCGGACCTGTATATGGCGCCGAGAACACCAGAGTCTGAGCTCACACCGCTCGCATTCTCCGTGTTCATTAGTTTACTATCTGTCAAATATGTTATTAGATAGAACTATTATACGTAGAAAGTAGACAGTAATGAAAAGTTAGTAGCTCTTGGTCCCCTCAAAGTTGCGTGGGATTTTCTCCTCAGCGTGAAGGTTAAGAGGCCCATCTATCACTGTTTTCACTGTTACTTTGTGGAGTAAATATATAGGCTATAATCTGTGTGTTTACAATCTATGGTTTACACAGCCTTTTTAAAAATGGCGGGTGCTGGAGTTTCACGTGCGTTTGGCCAATCAGCGTATACTAACGTCATGGATGGTTCCTATAGTGCTGGTTTAGACCCAACTCTGAAGTAGGAGCTTAATTAGTTCCTCCAAAAGAGTTCCTAGAACCAAAATCGTTCCTAGTTCCTGCGGTGCGAATGTGCCAAAATCCAGGAACTTCCACCAATAGTTCTAGGAACTATGAAAAGGTTCCTCCGGTGTGAAAGCCCCTAAGCAGGAGTTCAGTTTATCAAGAAATTCATATATGAGATGTTTATCTTTTCAGGAGTACATTACATACCTTGAGTTTGTCATGTGAGGTGTATGGGGCCTCTGGAGCGTAGATCCTGAAGATGTCAGCGAGACAGCAGGCCACGAGTAACCGTACATCCTTGTTGGGGTTTCGCAGGAAGAACTCAGAGGCCAAGTGAAGAGCCAGAGCCAAATACTGCTGCTTTTCCTCCTCTGAGTCTTGATCCATGTCCATATATGTCTTGACCACCAGCTATTAGACAGACAGGTGTTTATAGTTTCTCTTAAACACAAGTAAAATCCCAAACCATTTAATAATCATTTTGTAAAATAATTAAATACATTTTCTAAAAGGTAAATTCCTCCAAACTTTAAACACAATTCATCTTCTTTTACACACTGCATATCTTTTTTTGCAAAATTCTAAACACTAAAAACCTCAAAAGGCACACTGTATGAGTTTAACCCCCCAAAAATTAAGACATAAATAGCCACTATTCAGAAATACAGCAGCTCCTGTGAAGGGAATGCGTCTACCTTATTTGAAAAAAGTAAGTAATAATATTATATTATTTATTGTAGTTATAATAAACAAAATAGTTTGGAGAACAAATTGTTTTACTGCATTTTGCAGACATATGCAACAGCTGATTCATCACACACCATTGTGCCAGAAGATGACTGCTCTTAAACAGGACTATGACAGAGAGAAAGAGAGAGTGTATTTTATACTCAGAAGTTTAAGATGCAATGGAACAGTTGACAAAATCCAAATCACAGGGAAAATATATTGACTACTGGTGCTCCGATCAGGATTTTTGAACTGATCGTCGATCACAGGAAGTATCTGCCGATACCGATACCGATCTATTTGAAGCCGCCTTTTTATCACGTAGAACTATTTATAGGGATGCTTCAATCAGGATTTTTACAGACATTCATTTAGGGCCTGAATTTCATTATTTAAAATGGGGGGGTGTAAATAAACAATTTACAAGCAGTAGCACAAATAAAGATACAAATAAAATAAACAGAGTGCTTTAAGTTTTTTCTCAGGTAGGTCTAACAGTAGTATTGAGGTAAGAAATACAGATTAATCCTTACAATTAAGCAGGATTTTTAGGCTACTGTAACTTTAAGAGCTGCACAGATCCTATATACTGTTACACAACTTTCTCAACTGTTCACTTAAGACAAAACCGACTGCGTTTACGTGCATATTTATCAAGACATATTTATTAATCCTAGCACACAGTAGTGATGGGTCATTCATGACGTTCATTGCGTCTGTCACGTGACAAATCAACGAAAGACTCGGAAGGTAAAGTAATTAATATGTTCCCTGTAAATTGTTTTTGACTGCATTATAATGGATTTCTTTTTAATTCAGAATATGATCAAGATTGCGTAGGTGGACATGTTCGGGGAATTTGGCTGTTAAAGGTCCCCTGACAAGAAATTTTCACTTTCTGGGGTTTTTTAACATTAATATTAGTCCCCCTAGCCTGTATTTGGTCCCCTCGTGTCTAGAAATTTCAGTCGGTGTAAACCGAGTTTTGGCTATCTTTCTCTGCCTGTGAGAAAATGAGATCTCAGACGAGCTGATCTTGAATCTCCCCTATATGACGTCATATAGGGGAAAGGTTACCTCCCCCTTCTCTGCTTTGCCTGCCCAGAGAATTTGGCTCGCCCATGAGATAACGAGCTAGGAACAGGAAGTACGAACGTGCCAGCGCGATTTTAGTTTTTCCTAGAGAAATAGCTTTGAGATTTGAGTTTTTCCTCGAGAGATATCATGGCTTGCAAACGAGCGAAGCATGGCAGTTGATCAGTGTTCGGATGTACAAATTAACACAAAAGTATTTTTTAGTTCCTTCATCCGAGCCTCAGAAGCAAGGGCGTAGGTTTAGGGGGGGACGCTAGGTACTAGTCCCAATCAATATTTTGAGATGACAAATTTGTCCCCACCAATATTTAGCAAGCTCCTTTGAACTGCTATTTTGATATTTGCGCTGCTATTTGGATCGATTCCAACGGCCAGGACGACGACAGTACAAGATATGCCGTAATTTGATTGGCGGCGGGGTATCTGACAGGCAGGCTACACGCGCGGGCCGGGACTACTTTTTGTGCTTGCACTCACTGGCAGCGAGCGGGTGGTGTGTGTGTGTGTGTGTGTGTGTGTGTGTGTGTGTGTGTGTGTGTGTACGTGACGACGCCGACGGTAAGTTACCAGGGCTGTCTCTCTGCATGCCATATACAAAGGCCAGGGTAAAACATTTTAATATTCCGTTTTTTTGCCCCTTTTTGTACTTTGTAGATCAGCTATGTCACCCAAGAAGAAGAAAGGGGACATACGAAGCTTTTTCATAAAGCAGAGTGTAAGTAGGCAAAAATAACTAGCCACACAAATAACTAGCAGTAGTAGTGACTGACCAGGCTTTCTGGCAGAAAACTGGCAGATTCTACTGTGGAAAATAGTATTAACTGGTGATCCTGGTTCCCCAGGATATTGTTACAGTTAAACCTAGCTTCTGCAATCTTTCAAGGTTAGGAGCATTAATTAGGGGTGTGGAGCACGGATAGCTTTTTTTTAAGAATAGAATACATCAATAGAATTTGATATAGAATAGAAGATACATAATAATTTATGTTAAATAAAATGTTGGGTTGTTCAGCATTACAGTCTCAGGTTTTTATTTTTTGAGAGTGCATTTTTGAGATTATACAGTTATACTAGCTCTTTATTGACAGTATACAGGATGGTGTATCGGGCTCAGGATACAATATAATGAGATGAAGTAGATTCACTTCTGTATTGTGATATTCTGTATTGCCAGCAGTCTGAAATGACAAAGTAAATCGCCATTAAAGCACTGTTACTTATCTTACAACAAAATAATTCCCGGGGCGGGGGGGGGGGGGGGGAGGGGGATGTCCCCACCAAAGCTGAGACCAAACCTACGCCCATGCTCTGAAGAAACAATGGGTTAATTTTATTTTCTCTGGAAATGCGCCGACAAGTTGTGTATGGTCCAAGCATTTCACCGACAACTGTTTCCTCAACTCGATGAACGTCTGAAAATAAATCGATCGAGCTACCAAGCAACAATTTCTGATGTGTAGCCTAATTGTTCAAGTTCAGACAGGTAAGTTAATCTTTCTCTCAAAATCGTTCAATACTGTTTATGCATCAGTAAGTCAAGCCAGTGACTAAAATATCAACTTCACATCGTTTCTTTTAGTAGGATGAAAATAATCTTATTTAAATTCTGAACAAATCATACAGAAAGCGATCAAAGAACAATCTTTCCACACAGCGCGAGTTTATCTGGACAACTCGTTATGAAATCAATGACGCACGTTACACTGCACAACGAAGCTCTTACTGTATTAGGTATTTACATCATCGTGTTTGCATTGGGGAAAGCATTAGAGAGAGCAGAAACTGAGTTGCAATGATAAGATCTTCATTCTCGCGATCAACAGACTGTCATCTGCTTGCTCAATGCTCATCACGGCAACATTTTATGTGATGGGAATAGATCTAAATACTTTAAAAACTTCTCACGATTCGTTAATCTCGATAGCTGTAATAGTAAAAACGTATAATAGCTGTAGTAAAAGTATTCGAGAAAGTTTCGCATGTAATACATAGCTATTTCATATGCAACCATGTCAGCCAATCACAGCAGTGGCTGGCTACACTGAATCCCACAGCAGACACGCCCCTTCAAACAGAGCGACCCAGGAAACATTATAAAATAATAAAATAACCCCATGTCAGGGGACCTTTAAAAGTGTAACATTTAAAGCCACTTAAATGAACAAAATAACTAGAATAAAGATTCGTTCATTTTGATGCACAAAGAGTCAGTAAAATGATCCGAACTTCCCATCACTAGCACACAGCATTGTTTTGGATGTTTGGCAAGTTCCGTCTCAAAATAGGCAATACGTCATAAAAGCTGACCAATCAGGTTGTGAACGTATCCCTGTGCCTTTAGGTTCGGTGATAAAAATGCCAATCTGAACACTAAGCGGACCAGGACTAAATTGATTTTTTTTTGGTCCGGACCAAAAAAACAAGCTTACCAAACTACAAGTGTGAAAACACCCCCAGAGAGCGCGCCAGTGCTGAGAGGTTTAAACACTGGCAAGACTTAAAAAGAAATGCAAATTATAAACATTAGTGAAGTTGCGACACTGCTTCGATTGTGCAAGTGACACTTCCGGTGTCGACTGTGCAGCTTGCTTATAGTGCAGACGCAATGTGGTGATGAAGCCTATTGCGCATTTTGAGAGGGAAAGAGAGAGAGAGCGAGTGATGATTCACTCACGCTCTTTGTGAAATGACATCTCAGAAAGTTTTCAAATTACTAAGCTTATTTAAAAAAAAAAAAAAAAAGCTTATTTTAAAAAGTTATTTAATAATAAAATATTAATTTTACCTCACCTTCAGCATAATAATTATTTTATAGGTGCCAGACAGAGATTGAGAAGGTGATATTGATATTGATATTTTACTATTGTAGGGTAGTGCATCTGCATAGAAAATAATACATTACAAGCATATATAAATACAATAGAACAAAGATAAAAATGAAATGCGCAGTGCTTTGTTTTTCACGTAAATCTGTATTGTGGACATAATCAAAAGGTAAAATAACACTGCATAGTCTTCACTGTATAAATGAAATATAATTAATATAAATCATTTAATACAATTTATCTTTGTTAAAGCTACAAAAGAGATTTTCTTAACATTGGTGACAAACAGCTGCGGGTATATCAGGTTGCCGTCACTTTAAGACGAATGGATGGATCCAATATAATGATACACATCTGTTTTCTTTCTCAATTGTTTACAACACATACTTGGAGAGACGGGCATTTTGACTTAAGGCTGTCCTGGGAAACTTGACAACCGCCAAAACACTAATTTTTTGTATGCGAATGCTGTTTTACATGAATATTATGACACGAGTGAAGCACAAATCTATTTTTACAAAATAAATAATAGTTAGCAATTAAATGTTACATTTCAGCCATGGAAACATTTGGATTCATGCCGAATGAGAGAGGTACGTGAGCATAAATTTAAGCTTTGTATTGTGTTTTGCGATTATTCACGGCCGCTTTTAATTAGGCCTATTATCATTAGGTTTGAAAATAAATAGCAGCTAAGAAAACATACAAACTGACTAGTCATTTTTTCCCCATACACACAAGTTACTTAAAGGTGCTCTAAGC